ATAAAGTAAACGTTTCCTCAAAAAAAACTTTCATATAACTTTCATTTTTGTTAAGTTTCATGAATACCAAAAATCAACAGCAATCAAGTCAAAAACTATGTGAACGAACTGTATTCTTAAAAGCTGGTATTTGCTTTTTGAAATTATTCAAAGAGAAATATATATAGGGTTTAGGGTCTAAACCCTTAACCCTAACCCTGCATATATATATATAATTAAAATAATAATTAAATATTTCATATATATATATATATAATCTAATATACTGTTATTCTCAATCCAGTTCACATAAATGTTTCAATGAAATTTATCAAAACTATCACTAATTGTATATTTCGTGTAAGCAAGTTCTACAATAACATCTATTGAATAAAGCTCCGTAAAAAATGAAAAAATGAAACCAATTGAAGATATGTCAAGGATGCTCTAACTCTGCAAGACGATAAGTATCCTCTCCCGTTGGTCGAGAGCTAAAGTAAAAAATAATATATATATTGTTTGAATTGAAGACTCGTGTTTTTACTAGAAAACGCGAACTGGTGTAGGTAGATGTTGGAAAAGCAGAGGCGGTAGTATCCTTCCTTGAGGTACTCCTATAAGCAGAAGTGGCTCTGCTTTGCCAGCGCATACCAATTTCCAATAAAGCCCGAGAATGACTGTTATGATTGTTAAATCTTTATGATTTTTCCCATTTAGTATTAGATGAAATTCATAAGACCTTGTTTTTGTTGAATTTATAATCAACAGTGTTATTCAGATAACTTTTTGAATTAAACACAAAAGCAAAAAACAAAGTCATTGAAATTTATAAAATAAATAATAAAATAAATAAAAATTCAAATTGATGATAATATCTAGTTTAATTAACATGATATATTTAGTTTGAGAGTTGATGAATTGGTAAAGCTTTTTAAATTATTCAGTTTTTAAAATTCATATAAATTTAACAAAATCATATTTTTTCGATAAATTATTCAAGATAATGAATTCCTTTAATATCACTGAACTTTAACAGTAAATTAACTATCATTGATCCTGTTTTCTGATTAAATTTGGTATCTTATTATATGATGGAATTAAGGCTCGATTTTCAGATTATTGGATGTGTTTTGTAATATGATCAATTTTCAAACTATTCACCCTTTATATCTTTTTCCCAAAATTTCAAATTGAATCAAAAGTAAATTTCATCAAATTTGAGTGAACAAAGTAAATTTAGTCACTGAAAATAATATTAAAAAAAATACACAATAATCTAATCATATCAACATGACTTTAAAGCATATTCTAGTATTATTTACAAAAAAATTCATTTTCTACTTTAATTATATTTGATTGAACTTTAAATTTTAATTAATAATTCTTAAACAAAACAAAAAAACATATTTGAATCTCTATATTTTATGAATTAACATTCATAAAATATAGGATTCAAACGATGGAAGAGAATTGAGCAAAAATATTGCGATGCAACTGGAAAACTCAGAAATTCAAGATGATTTGAATTTTAGCAAGAGATTTTTGAATTTTAAAAATATTTTAAAATTGAATTTAATATTGAATATAGATATAAATCAACTATATAGATTGAGACAATCATCAATATTTAAACACTATCAAATGCTAAGTTTGACATGTCAAATACAACAGACATTTCTATTATTTTCTTTTAGAATGTTGAGCAAAATACATGTTTCAGGCTAAAAATTTTGAGTATCTTCTAAGAGTGATATGATGTAAAATCATGATTAAACTAACATGCTAAGATTGATTTGAAAAAAAATATGAATGAAATAACATGCAAGAGATAAGTACACACACAAAGTTTTTTAGCCTATTTTCTCATGTCATCAAGCAATTGAATGAGTATAATTAATTCAATACTTTTTATAGGATTAAATAAAACTTTCATACTAAAAAACTATAAAATGATCTTTACATGATATTGAAATTAATGAGATTCAACATGAGCTACAAAGACAAGAATAAAAAATCATATTGATGATTTAAATGATCTTATTGTGCAGATGTAAAAATCTTGGTGAAAAATTGAATGAAGTTAACAAAAACTTCTTTCAATTTTTGCAAACATATTTTTTAAAAAGAAACCTTTATTTTTAAATTCATTACCTACATTATATACTTTCTTTCACAAGTGTTACATCATTGTAATAGAAAAGTTAAATATAGGATGATCCAATTTTTTAAAACAAATATTGCTTAACAAAAAATATATTATTTTCTCTTCAATCGATTTAAACAAACCCAACGAATAATGTGAACCATGTAAGGTTCAACATTCAGCGCTGTGTTTGTTGAAGTCATAACACTCAAGGATTCAGAATCAAATAAATGATGAGATGAATTTTAGATCTACGTCAAAAAATATTTTTAAACAAAATAATATATGTTATATTAGAAATGAGGCAAAGATTTCCATGTCATAGACATTGTGGCAGCAAAATAGTAAATCTTTCTTCAGAATATGTTGCATACAAAAACTAAGAAGATAAAAATGATTTTTTGGACAATGTAATGTGTCTATTTTTTGTCTATAATTAGCATCAAATTTGAATTAACCCTATGTAGAGCTTAGATTAGTTTCATTCTTATCGGAGAATATAGTCGGTGTACTTGAAGAACTAACATTTCTTCAAGTTGAGACTTTTAGCATTAGGGTAGCTTTCAATAGGTTGGCTATGGTGTCCTGCTAGCTTTGACGTGCAATCTCTGAGGTTTGTAGTGGATTTGACTTGACTATCATGTGAAATTTTGTGATTTAAACAAGCAATGTTTGCACAAATAGTTTTCATTCGAATTTGTGATACATTGATGTACGTGTACACTCTCGTTTCCTATACTTGTGTGTGTGAGAGAGTGTGGCTAGTCCGCAATGTAGGTTATATGATGATACATATTCGCAACACAACAACTTTGTTATAAAGTTCAAACAATATTTACTTTGCATCTCATTCATTCAATCAAAGAGAGTATCAATAGATTTTTTTTTGTTATTGTTCATATTATATATGTTGTAAACAATTATTTTTACTTTTACTCAAAAACAAACATTGTAATTTAGAAAAAATAATAATTTATTATGTCAATTTAAAGAACTTGGTTTTATTTAAATGTTTGATCACTATGCACACATTGAAAAATGACATGAAAATCTTTGATATAAATATATCGTCCGTATCTCTTTATATGTTAGACAACTATGATCATCAAATGATGCATAAGATAAAAAAAATGCAAAGCTCACATACTTTAGTTTTTTATTTCAAAATTTTCTTAGTTCTTTGTGTGATAAATGAAAATACAAATGTTTGATGTAAAGATTTTTCTACAAATAAGTGAAAATTATCATGTTTTTATTAATTACACTAGCCATGACATTGTTATTTTGATGATAAAAACTAGCAAGACAAATCTAAGATACATAAAATAATAAGTTGTGCAATATATTATCATATATCTCAAGTTTATGTTTTATAAATGTTTGTGTTTGTTGCAGATCTATACAATGCCAAATCACTAGTTTTTTTTTGTAAATGCTAATTATGAGCAATATTTGATTGAATAGAAAATATTATAATTATAATACACAAAAAGATGGATACGCTAATTTAACATCTACAATGAAAAAATGAAAACTTAAATTTTTTTATTGATTACAAAAGCAAAAAATACAGCAAAATTCAAAATTTGTATTGGATAGACTTGTCATTGAGATTAAATTAACACATGAATTATGAATCTTTATTGTGAAAGTTATTATATGAAAGCTTTACATCTAAATGTCAATCAAGAAATATGTAATGGAATAAAATATAATGACGTAATTATATTTTTCATTCAATCTCTGATTGAGGAAACGATTAAGCTAATCAAAATTGACTCTTAACATAATCCCGCTAATGTTTTTGTCAAATTGATTCAATCAAAAAAATAAAAACAAATATCATTACACATTGAAGATTTTGCAAATGTACACAAGTAGAGTATACTAACAATTACATTATCTACATATATAATTTCATCATATTATACTTCTTCTAAGTTTTAGTTTTACAAACTTCTAGTTCACAAAATTCTCTATATTAAAAATAATTATGAAATTATTCATAAAATAATCATAAAGTTTACATACATCAAGATATGGGTCAAAAAATACATTTTGCCTCATATCTTATTTTTTCTGAAGTTAGACTAATCACGGTTAGTTAGTCGCATAGTGTTGTCTGTAGACTAATAAAGTCCTCCGCAATACAAACTTTAAAAATTTTATATTATTTTTGATATTAAAAAAATATTTTAGAGTATCATCATACTTTTTGGCTTTTTGATTTGTATTTGTGTGATCAATATATATCCTAGATCATAAAAGATTCAATTATAATCGTAAAATTTAATGTTTTTTTGATATTATTGTAAACTAATGATAAAATGAATATTTCGTTAAAATTTTTGTGAAGAGTACTAGTATTTAAAGAAAATATTTGACAATCATAAGATTATAAAATCTGAAATTCATGGTTTATTTTAGGAATGGTATATAGATATAAATTTAAAAAAAAATATATTTTTCCAAATTACATTTTAAGTTAGATTCTACACATTCAATAAATATCATGAATTAAATTTAAATTACTGTGTTAATCTGTAACTTCACACTTTAGTAGTTTTTACAAATTTCAATTTGTGATGATTTACAAAATTAAAAAGATCATGTCAACATATTCATGCCGAAACAAAACAGTATTTGGGAAAAAAATAGAAGTCACTTACGCATTTCAGAGGCCAAAGATACTAATGATAATTATGTCGTAAGGGTTCTGCTGATGACGGGGGTGGGATTGGGTTGCGTTGAGACGCTCCATGCATGGTCCGGTGGTGAATGTGGTAGGCCTGATGATGGCGAGATGATGATGACTCTGTCTACAGCAAGACAGTGGTGCCTGTCCCGACCCTGTCCCCTGAAAATCCGTGGGCGTGGAATGGAATCAGAAATTCCAATGGATCGGGAAAGGTACGAAACCATGGAGTGCACAGATGGACGCAAGGTGGCCGTTGGCAAGAACTGGAGGAGCAGCCGAAAGGTGAAGGCCAAGGGGAGGTAACGCAAGACTCGAGAATCTTCTTCGACGGCTCGGTCATGCGCTCAACAACATGAGATCCAATTATTGGTAGCACCGGCATGTTTCTCATGACTCTTTGTCGTGTGTATGTGCGTGCTCGAGTCCTAGTGGCTCGTGACCCTTGTGATCTTTGAGCGATCCCATCTTCGGAGAAAGCGGACGAGACTTGAAAAGGATGTCCCTGGCCGTCGATTGCAACCTCGCGAGTGCCTTTTTCCTCCGAAGCCGCCCTACGAGCCACCTCGTGGCGGCTCAACCACTCTCACAATCTCAACAGCTAAAGATCCAACTCGCGTTTTATGTCTGCTCTGCTCTTCCAACATAAGGATTGAGGTCGACAGCCTCGGCAAGAAATTCTCTGGTGAACAAGAGATTAGAAAGAAAAACGCAAATTTGGAAGGAGAAGTGTTATTGTCCGTCTTGACAATGAATGTTCACAACGAGCGTCAACTGACAGGACGGAGTACTCGATGGACGCGCTCGTTCTGTGCTTGGACGGTGCTGATGTCCTACATGCGTGTCCTACGGAGGTTTGCATGTGCCTCGATCAGGCTTGCCATGGAGTTTAGCTCGTCATACACTCAACGGGTCTCTCCAAACATAGTAGCTTCGGATCCCGCTCTCGATAGCTTGTGATTGTTATCATCTGTTAAGTATTCCAACGAAGTCAAGCCCATCCAATCGCAGTCCATTGAACTCAAATCATGTCTCGAAAGTTCTTTTCCATCACCTTCTACTTCTGTTTGAATCTTTTGTATCAAGTTCTTTCACTTCAGTGAAATTATTGCGGCAGATTTGGATCACGAGATATATAAAGAATACCCGGATGTGTTGCTATAGCTTGATGTGATGGCAGAGTAGTACTCTTACGTTGGAGGCACAACAAAAACTTTCGAGGTATGCCCATGTCCCCTTTCAAGGTCAAAAGACATGCCCGTATGTATTGTTACACGGGCATGTCTTTTGACCTTGAAAGGGGATGTATATATATTTGATGTATCAGAAAATATAATTTTATGAAAATCAATCAACACCAAAATGAGAGCTTCAAACCCACACCATAGTAGAATCTCGAAATGTCTATCTAAGGAATCAAAGAAAGAGAGAACACGTACTTATGTTAGCTGCAGGGAATTATGTGGCATGGAGGGAGTGAATAGAAGCAGTAAATACTACAGCACCAGCCATTTTCAAACCAGCCATCAAAAGTTGTGCAGAACAAAAGGGCCAGGCAATTCATGGAGGGAGTGCCATGTAGGAGAGCTAGATCTAGTTTAGCAGAGATCTTCCAAGCCTCAAGGAAATATAGTTACTCATGCTAGACATCCGGTTCATTTGCTGAAGGTAATAAGGTCGGAGGAACTGTCTACATATCAAATACCGACACAAAACAGCATTGCACATATTTGGCAAATCCTTCAGTTCCAAGAGCAGTTTTAGTCTCACGCAACCCCAACAACAAATATAAAATTCCATTTATTTTTTGACTTAGCACATCGTATATAATTCTAGAATATACATATAAATTTATTAGTATATACGGGCATGCCCCGTATAGAAAATGCGATTGAGGCATGCCCCCGTTGCCCGGGGTCATGCCTTTTGAGTTGTGCGTCCAACACTTCTCTTGACCTTTGGATCATGTGATAAAGAACCATTGCATAAGGCATCGTAACAAACAGAATGGGAAGGCCCATCAAGTTCTACACGGACGTAATCAAAGAACATCACATAGATCCAGTCACCAACAAATATGTCAAAGCGGAGTTAGAATATCATAAGTATCAAAATGTGTATATAGAACTAACTTCGATTGAAATATCAGAAATCTAGATTTTTCACTCTAAGAATTTCATACATATACATTATATGCTATATTTTATAGTATATTATATACTTGAATATATCACTATTATAATATATGATAATAATTTCCAAACATCGAAGTCTAACTAAATAACAAGAAATTAAACTACATTTCTACCCGTATATTTGAATATTATTGTTGCTCTAACTCCACTTGCCATCCAGTACTTTATATGATAAAATTAACTAGAATAGTATGATGTGATGGGTCGTAAACCAACCAACTGTTGTGCAAATAAAATTTACCAACACTCTCTCCTATATACATACACTCACGAGTGATTGATGACAAACATCACATGACATCGTAAATAATTTATCAGGACTTTTAGTGAGCAACCAAAAGTATAGAGAAATGCTAAATACTCGGGCATGTAATTTTGTTACAAGGCGAAGATGAAGGTGAACGAGGAGGTCAAACTCACTAATGCATGGCACTGGTCCAAAGGCAGGTTTTTTGTGGAACGAAGAGAAGACGAAGGCTTGATCCGCGAAAGTGAATGAAACGGTTCGTTATATCGCAAGAGTCGACAGCAAGAATTGTTCCCTCGCTAGCAGGGCTTATGTAACAGAAATGGAATCCCTAAGTTGGCCACGGTCCGGTTAACGGTTAAACGGTTCAGAAAAAAAGGCGGAAAACCGGAAACCGGTCTCAGAGAAAATTTGTTACCGGATAAACGAGACCTACGATTAACCGGTTAACCGCCGGTCCGGACCGTGGCCACGAAATGAACTACATTACTTAGGGTGACAAATTTTCGGACCGAATTTTGGGACTGGTTAACCGGGACCGAAGGTTAACCGCCATTCCGGACCGTGGCCAAGCCTACTGCTGTACGCTGCCCCGAGTCGTTTCGCCACTGAGCAATAAACATCGACATGAAGGGACGCCCTTCATGGCTGAGGTCATGTGTCATGTGTTTGTGCAAAGGTTGTTTTTTTTTCAAACGAAGGTCAGCCCTTCCATCGGCGCCTTCGAAGCATGAATTGATAATACTAATGACCTTCGAGAAGTCCCAAATATTTGAACACAAGTCAAAGATTGAACCGTCGCATATATTTCATATGTGACATGTTTATGATGATGCAAGTCAGTTTGAGCTGAAGTATGTGGATTGGAATTTAAGAGTAGCGGATATTTGACCCGTATCGAGCAGTAATTACCCCTGCTAAGAATATCTAGCGGCAAGTCATGTTCCAAAAACTTCAGTCACAGACCTGAATCCGGATGCAACTGACTGTCGCATAAAACACAATGTACTCTCTCCAGATCGTTTGGATGTTGCACTCGGTCCATTTATTACAACGTGCGAGCGACGAGGATGCACGATTCCACTCACGGCACTGAATAATTGTTCAGATATTGACGAGATTCGTACCAACACAAGATCCCTCCCATTGAAGGCAGAGGCTACCAACGTCCCAACATCTGTAACCAGCAATGCAATGCATACGAAATGGTCGTGAGGTGATATTGGCCTTAAAGGCAAACGCAGATGGATGATTGAGCTGCGGACGCGCCACAGAGGTGGGAGGGAGCTGTATGGTCAATCTTGTGAGATTAAGGAGCTAGATGAAGTGAGGTTTTCCTTCCCCTACTTCACTGCAATCATTGGTTGTCAGATCCTCCGTCCAAGTATGAGACATACTCAGGCAAACAAGCATGAGGGAGTTTGATGTGCTGACATTGTCTTTACTGCACTCCAGGAGTTCCCTTCGGCCGTACCCATACCTCTCGTTTCCTCAGCTGTTGTTCACAGTGTGGATGTATCGTAATTCAAAAGATATATCTGTTGGTTTCCGTTAGGAATCATTACGACGTCATTCAAGTCATGCTTATGAAGTGGCGCTTGTGCACTCCCAGTATTGGATCCATCGGCAGCTTGCAGAATTGAACGGAAGTACAGAGTGATGAACTAGCATAGACCCGCAGGGCAGCTCAATACACTCGCTGTATTGGACAAGCTCTACAGACAGAGTGAACACTGTCGTGAGCAGTAGAGATGCCATTAAGTTGCACCTGATGCTACGAAGTGAAACGCGTTACCTTCTGTAGCGTGCAACAGGAACACATCACAGCAGTCACGACCGGACGGTGGCCCCAAGCCATCTTCAGTGCTTGCTTGCTTGCCTGAGTTTAAAGTCCAAGGCGGGAATAAACTAGTTGCGGTTTGAAAACCTGATCCTGATCGAAACTCAAAGCAGTCACGATGTGCTTTTGTCGTACAAACAGCGATCTTGGTTGATCAAGAGTTAAAGGTGACCAAAAGGTCCTTTCAAATATTTTGTCTCTGGATGGGTGCAAAATCTGAACTGGATGGAAGGTCACTACTCTGTACTCGAGTTTTTTTGACATAAGGTTCTGGCAGCGCAGAGATGCAGACTAGGCGGAATAAACTTTACAGAGTTCTGACAACATCATTACTGCAGCAAATGGGCGTTTGCTACTTTGGCAGTTCCTCTCCTGTTATGTCAAGGAAGGAAGTTGGTACTGTAACATATTTCCCGAGGACATAAATGAGAGATTGCATCCTGCTGCTGTTGCCTGGTCTATGTATGTCATCGTAATTTGTTATCCACTACTTCACTTGATCGCTGATGCGCATTTCTTCTGCGGACAGTTGAACGCATCGAAAGTGATAGGAGGGGTCGCATTGCAGACATAGTTCGTATGTGCCGGTGACGACGACCGGTAACAGTCTTCTATCATCAGAAGCCAGCGAGCCAGCCGCAACGAAGATATTGCATTATTACGAGCTGCCTGAGCAGCAGGAGCAGCAGGTGTAGCTTCAGCAAGATCCAATGAATTTATCCATCTCCAGGAGATTCAGAGATCCGTGGATGATGCTGCCATTGTATAGCGTGTTGTCAGAAGCTACATTGGCCCCAGCTCACGTACCATCACGATGGACCTGGTCTCTACAGTCTACCAAGAGTCCAATCCAGACCAGACCAAACCAGACCAGGTCAATTTTTAAGGGGGATTCACACTGTTGTTCAAACGAGTGTTCACAGAGGACAAGGACAACACTAACGAGGTTCTTGCTCGGACTTCAAGAGAAGGCAGAAGCAGTTCTGTTTTTCGAATCCTCACCTCACTCTGCCTTCCTCTTCCCTTTACAGTACAGTGACGAGCACTTTGGATGGGGACGGTAACCAGCCGAAACGTGAGCAGTTTCTGAACAGCTGTTCAGACAAAGGTCCACGGTGCTGATGAGACCCATCTTCTGCAGCTGACTGTCATCACAGTCAGGGGTCGGCACTGTGTGCAATGAGAGTTCGATCAACCTCGGGGGAGACGGAGACTAAAAGAGAGAAGTTTGCTTTATTCAAGCGTATGTGTGTGTGTAGGAGGAAGGTCAAGAGGGAAGGAGGATGAGTGTACAGTCGATTCACTCTCTAGTTCAGGGAGGGGCAGACGGTAAGATGACCGTCCTCATCATCGTTGCGGATTGTGGAGATATTACCAATCACACGTGGAGAGATGGTGGATTGGAACTTGGGATAGAGAGGAATTTTGCCACCCGCTTGCCCGGCCTTGAGGAATTTATCTGTTTGCCTTCTGGGAAGTCGGCATGCGTAACGCAATGCAATGCAGAAGAGCAGACGAGCAGCAGAATCATCTGAGCACGAGTCACCCAACAGATCATTCTGGCCGAGCGCCTGGGCTGACATTCTGACACCCTGGGCCCACAGCACTTCCCATTCAGCATGCACCTTGAATGAGCACCACCTTCTCCTCTGCACCGAGGATCCCTAGCGATCTTGCACCTTTGCCGGAGAGCCAGTCGACCGGCTCCAGTAGCACCAGGCAGGCAGGCTCTGTGCAGAATTCCCAGCTAGGGGAGAGAGCTCGTCTGGACTAGGACTGGGACGGGACTGACCGGACTTTGTGATCTGAGTCTCCCCCAGCTCACGCAGCAACAGCAACAGAGCGCAGCAGAGCTCGCCCACCAGCTGTCTGTCTGTCATCACGAGTGACCATGAAGAAACAGGAGTGTGGTTCCACTGATCGTTTGGGTACGTGATGCCAGTAGAATCCTGTAGGACCTTTCATATCCTCATTCCATGGAATACCTGACCAGTCCAGGCCAGTCCACACTCCAGCCCTCACACCGAAAAGTAGGAGGAGGCGGAGAACTTGGATCTCAAATCGTCCTTCGAGAGACAGACACTCCTACCAATTTCGTCCTGAGCTAGGGTGGAATTTCACCACAGCTGACACCATAGCTAGGCTGCAACAGGCCTCATGACATTATGTGGAAGTTGTAGATAATGAGCGCCCCGACAAGCTCTGGTCAAACGAATGCTGTCACTCATGTGCAGGTACAGGTTTAAGGTAATCCACTACATGTTCTGGGCCCGCCGCCCGCCCGCCTTTCTCTCGCAATTGCCTGTGCTGCTCCAACCCCTTTGCCTCCTTATCTACCCAGCCATCATTCACGGTAACTCTGCAGCCCAGCGCTGCAATGTCGAGCTCTTTTGCTTGGAATTGACGGATCTCAAACTTACGGAGTGAAAGCTCCATAACGGTGCCTGCTTGCTTGCTGAAGTAACAAAAGTCCCTCGTCTGCACTCATGGTTTTTTCCTTCTCGCCATCGGAGAGAGGAGGGCTGCAAGATAGATCTTGAGCTCCAGACAATCATTCACTTGTTGTATTATTAATCTGAGAAACGATGGGCACTCACTCGCTCCCTCACCATGTCGACCGTAGATTGAATGAACGAATGTGACTCTAAGTCCTCCTCAGGCTGGAAAGGGGGTTTACGGAGAAATGCTGTGTTTCCTCTGGGGTGTCTGGAAGCCTCCATGATCGATGAGTGAGGAAATGTCCATGACCTGACGATCAAATGGTTCTGAGTCTGAAATGGATGAGCATCAGAATGTCGAGGGTCGTGGGCATTATGGGCAGATCGTGGACGTGAGGGAATATACGCAAGCAGATCCAGGCGACTAAATGCCCCCGTAGTCTTGGAGGGAAGGGGAGCTCATATCACTTCAAGACCAAGCAAATTGTAGACCTTAATCTGGGGGTCAACTAGAATATCTCGAACAGTTTTGAACATTGCACTGGCTGACTTATGCTACTACAACCACCAACACTATTTCCACATTCTGGAGAGCAAACAGGAGCTCGCTCAATCGCTCTATTTTCGCAGAGCTCTGAGTTTACTCTCTGAGAGTCTCGTCCCTCACTTCCTTTGTCACTCCTACACTTCCTCGATGTCCTTGAAAGTGCAGTGGTCTGACCTTTCAAACCCGCCAGTCCATTTGGTTCATGATCCATTCCAACGAGAGCGTTGTCCTCTCGGCGAGTGCTTTCGTTTTGAGTTGGGAAGAGGAGTGGTCTGGTCCGGTCTTCTGCGGTTTATGCTGCAGCTACTGAGGAGCAGCTGATTGGACTGATAAGCTGCTAATTGAGGAGTTTTTCTTGAGAGATGAATATGGTTCGGTCGTTGCTGTGCCCCGGGTCTTGGGCTCAGAATCCTTGCAAGTGATGGGATTGTCCTCAGTAATGAAAGCTCAATCCCCCCAGTCGCAAGGACTCTGACGTACAAGTTTGTAGCTCTCTTCTGGAACAGTTATCGTTCCTCGAGTGGTTCAATTGGTGCTGTTGTCCAAACGAGGTATGTGCCCTCACTGCCATGCGCACGAGCACCTCTCTAAATCTCACTCAACACTTGCGGAATTTGTGATGAGAATGCATGGATAGCTCTTGATAGTCGTTGTCTGCACAGGGTCTGCATTGTCTGATTGCAGTCGCTATTAAATGCCGAAAACCTTATACCAGTTCTCTCTCGTGATACAATTTTCCGTCATGTTCTTCGCGGGCAGTCGACATCTTCTCCTGTGTCAAGGCACGAGAGACTGCGATCAACTCGTGCCACGTTCTTTTCAAAGCGGATGGTAAGATGCTGCTTCTCTCTTGGTGTTTTTTTGGTGGAAACGAGAACTCATATATCTTAAAAGGCTCTCACGTACACCATCTCGTTATATGCAATTCTGGGAGCTACTTCACTGGTTTTCGTTGAGAAACATCTATCTAAACACATTCTGTTCTGGCAAAATGTGGCAAGGCTTTCGTTGGGTTGGAGCCATACTCCATGATGTTCACTAAATTCGGGCTGTTCACAGAAACCTCATGCTACTCATGAATCGTTGCCGTTTGTCAAGTGTTGATAATTCTTCTCTGGGGGCAAATAACCACATTGCCCATTCAAGGTGTTAACCTTATTACCGAATTTACTCCCATCTCATTTCTGGAGCAGTCTCTCTTCCTGGTGGGCAACTTTTCACGGCTTGCCACTTCACACTAGGATTAGCCTCGAGTATTATTGGGAACGAAGATTGGTGTTTACTCAGCAACACTTACTCCAGTTCTAGCATTGTCTGTGTTTTTCAAGCAGGATGATTTTCTAATCCATTGTCTCTCAAACTCTGGCTAAACACCGGCAGGTCATCACTAGTACCTTGTAGGAGTTTCTTGTTGATCGAAAAGCCGCACGATTTCACAATTTGCGTAGCCTCTCCTCGTCGATCAGTTTCTGAGAAGAACACTGACATGTTCTAGACAGTTAGCTCCTCCAAGATCAAATGTTAGTGATCTCGTCATAGAAAGTTCCATCTTGCCGTAGACCGCATGTGGACGGATTTGTATGGTGGAAACATTGATGATAATGTTACGGCAATGCACAGAGCGCGAGGAAGGATCAAAACATCCTCATTTCAGATTCGCACGAATTCACAAGTACTGGAGCAGCAGCAGCAGCATCAGCTTGGGTGAGATACTTACTTCGACGGAGCAGACTGTCTGTACCAGGCTGAGGTGCGTACTGAAGTGTGAAGTGTGAATAGACGCATGTCCACTCGAGATCTGAAAAATGCTAAAATGGCTTGATGTATCAGAAGGGTAAGGTCCTAAAACTGCGTATGATGGGTTAAGGGGAACAGAATCCACCACGAAAGGGGAAGTCAAACGTCCTTGTTCTCAGTAGAGAATCCGCCACATTCACCTAAGCAAGATGCTTCTGGTACGATGAAGCGTTACGGTGATTCCAGCAGCTGAAGGTGATGCAAAGGTTACATCAGCGTGCATTATTGCCAGTATCACCGGATGCAAGGTCAGGCCAGTCCAGTCCAGTTTATGTACCTACTCTGAAGCGTCAACGTCCGGACTCGTCTATTTTGATCCACCGGCTCAATTGTACGCTCGGTTTAGTGTCGAATTGTGTCAAAATGTTTACGTGTGGTATACTCGACAGAAAAGACACTCAGAGAGAGAGAGAGAGAAAGAGAGAGAGAGGAGTGAAGATAATCGAAACGTGGGCTTGATCAGTGGAATCTAAGTCATCTAAATGAGGCAGTTATGTCATCGGCCGAGATGCGAATCTTCTGAGGAGCACCGCATTTCGAGACTTCATTGCATAGTATTTGATATCTTCTGCTACACGAGGAACAAGGAGGAACTGCGTAGCCGAGCATTTGCCCGCTCAATGCACAGGCATATACCCGGACGGATCATTTGCAGACAAAGTGTCCTCGCACTGACAGACACTCCCATTGGATGGGAAGAAGCTGGGCCCGCCGAGAATATCTTTTTCACACATTCAAAGATAGTACGAAAAAGGGCTTCTTGTCCAAGGCCAAGCCAGGCCAAGCCAGGCCAGCCCCGGCCATCCCCGGCCCAACCTAGCCCAGCAGCAGCACAGTAGTGATCCATCCTGCACGCGTACTGACTGACCCATCCTTGGCTTCAGAGAGCCCAGAGCCGTACCAATGGAACACAGGATATCAGGTCTCCGACCTGGATCCATCTATCTATGCGTGACAGCTCTCCCTCCCTCGCTCGCTCTATAAAGCGAGGGATGCAAGCAAGCGAGCAAGCAAGCATCACATAAGATGTCCAACCTGCCATACATTTCAGTCCCGCCAGAGAGCTGCATGGACCAGCCAATGAGCTTCTGTACTGACAAGACATCTCCGAGGACCCTTCAGACTCCACCGACTCCATCCATCTTCTCTGTCACATGTGGACACAGCTTGGTAATCTGGTTGGTTGCACAGCAGTACACACCCCACACCCCACCCCCCTACCCTCGGACCCTAGCCTTCCCTCCCTTCCCCTCCCCTCCCCTCGATGCGTCGCACTGCACTAGAACTTTGCCCGCTCTACATTTTGTGGATCTCCATGTTCATCTGACTTGAACGCTTTTTCATTACGCAGAAATCGCTCAGTTTTCATGGCCAGTGAAGCGATGGAAGTCGCATGCATGCGCCAAGGCAAGTCTCCTTTTTTACCCTCATTAACAATTGTATTTCCCAGTTGCCCCTGGCTCTGGCTCTGGTGCTGGCTGGCTGGCTGACTGGCTGTCAATCTTCGGACTCCTGCTTCCTCCTCTTCCTCCTCTCGCTGACCCGAGGGTACAGTGTACCATGCTCGCTTTTCTTTCCTCCTTTGCGTCCATTCTTGTCGGGTTGCCATTGAATGAAGTTGAGGTGTGATATCTTGGAGATGCAAAGTGGACTGTCCGTTCTAAATATCGTCCAGCGATGGTGGAGAATCTTCATGAGTGAGACACACATACTGTACATCATCGGCGGTCGACCAAGGGCAGAGCTGTCCTTATCGTGTACACTTTGGCCATCTTCTTCTCTCGTGTGTAGCTTTGAATTGCCTGCTCTGGTCGTGATTTTGTCACCTGTAACAGTCATCTTGTCCACTACTATCAGCAGTCTTCGCTGGTTTCCGCCCACTTCTTCTTCTTCTTCTTCTCGATGTGCGTGTAGTGTATGTTCCGCACCGAATTGTCCTTCGAATTGTGGAATCGTCTCCACCAGTTCTCCATGCATCAAGTGCGAGCGAGGGCACGAGCTTCGCAATGGGGCCACCTCTGCTCTTGACTGCAATCTGGGTGTTCGACTCGGGACCCCGGTCTCGGCTCTGCTAGGCCTCGCTGGAATGTCACTCCACTGAACCGGACAAAAATTTTTCCGCCTTGTGCATGCGCAGCCTACGGAAGCTAGCTAGCAAACAGTTGATGTCCGTCCGAGAGTGATGTCTTACTGCGTATTGCGTTGCGTGAATGTAGTTATACACTTTGGTATATATAGGCCACGCTCACCTCTGAGCATGTCATTGTCAATCCACAGATTTCAAATCTGGAAGTTCCACAAGAAACAAATATGCAATTCTATACGAATTTGTCATTTTCAAGTGAATGGAGGCTAATCGTCACGCGGCTCGTCCAACGTTTCATCTTCAAGCGTGGTGGAATCTCCCTCATTGCAACTTTTGCCTTGATCAATGAAATGCTTCCAACAAGTACCTCTATAACCTGCCCGTGGGCAAAGATTATTGGCAGTCAAAGTCAGCCCCTAATGAAATCATTACGTCCAAATTATGAGTGTTCTATGCCTGGATTCATTCTCAAATACGGAAACATATCCAGCCGACTTGTTAGAGAACTAGAGTCAACCCCACGACGTGCTCTCTCAGTTGGTTACGAAGTAAAGGATAACGAGAGAGCACCTGAATAAGTTCTTCTACATTGACGGGAGATACCATACATACATCGTAATATGGACTGTAAGACAAATAAAAGTGTGGTAAGAGCAGCATTATCTTGTATTCATCTCTTCTGGCAATAAATTGAAGTATAAATCATCTCGTCGATTGCTTCTCGACCAACTTTCTTATATTGAAAGTCGCTCAGCATGTAATCCAGATGGTAATCAAACCTAAAATGGTATAGATGTACGAGAAGGGAGGGATTACGAAGAACTTATCTAACAGTAGCATCCTTAAGTTGGAATCTTGATAGTGACACTTGATCACCAAATTTATTTTCATTGTAAATTTATGATGTATATAATCGATCACTAGGTGACCACAAATATGATCTCAAGTAAGGGAAAAAATACACATAATATTGTGTAGTGTGTCAAAAGAACTTGCTCTCTTTCCGGAAGGTACTTCCAACTCACGACTCCTCAACTGACCAGAATCCATTGGCCCGGAAGTGGAAAAGCAATCCACAAGAATACAAAGAGAAACGAAACGTTAAGAAAGGAGGAAATCAAAGCAGAAAAGCGTCGGATGACTAAAAACCGGAGGACAAAGTCCGAAGCTAGTGGAATACCAAACGCAACCAGAATCAAACGGACAAGTGGATACGATATATAATAATCAGTAGTATATCTGTGAGAAAGAGAAGACGGTTGTTATGAAAGTACTTAAGGCCACTGGATGGATTTGATCCAATTGTACGTGTTGACTTTCCAAAACTTCACAGCAGTCAAGGTTCAGACAAAACTTTCCATCCTCCATTGCCCTTCTTCAAGCAGGTTTTCTCTTCATGCCGCTTACCCTCCTCCGCGACAGGCTGCTCAGATAGATGTTCGTTTGGTTTGCTCGCTCGGGCCCACGTGTTAGGCCTTTTATCTCGACAACTGTATCGGAAACCTTTTGCATCTCTCCACTCTCACCTGTTGTTGTCCCTACATGATGATATGAACTTCAAAGAATGGACAGGTAAGCTATCATCGTCCAAATTGTAGACATGTACAAGAAGGAGAGCTTATCAAGAACTTATCTGACAGTGACTTGCTCAAAGCCAACGTGCAGCGAACTTATTTGCTGCACCGTCCACCAATCAGTTACGACTACTGAATCAGTACTTGATGGCACCACCACCACTACTACTACTACCACTACAGTTCGTTGCAACCTAACAACAACACACTGTTATTGATTCGGTTTCGGCATCCATCATCCATCTATTTTGAATCTTGCAGAATTGATCGCAACCTTAAACTACTGAAACCAGAGTAAGGTTTCAGATGATTGAACTTGGTCCCGAGGGCTAACACAGTATGGGTTGGGTTGGGTTGAGGTTTGGAAAGAGGAGAAAAGAAGGAGGGGGACGAGGCAGGGGAGTACGGCTGACACAGAAGAAAATGACATACACAAAAGCGCAGAGCTGACGTGATATTCATATAACACGAGGATGTGGCATATGCGTCAGACGCCGAGATTGAAGACTACCGGTAGTGATGTCCGCCGGTGCACAAGATGAACTGAAAGGGCGTTCCGTGTTCGAGGAAGGCAGTGGTGCACACGGATCGAGGAAAGGTGGCTGGACTCTCATAGGACCTTGCCTTTACTGTGGAGGGAGTGTGGTTCTAAGATATGGAGACGAGTGGAATTGTATTAAAGGAAACCTCGAGATGTTGGAGATTAGACGGGAAGAATGTAGAGTCAAAAGCAGCCGCCATTGGAGGTCAAAGAGGGCCCTGTTTCAACGGTGTGCAGTGAAGAGACAGTTGAGCGAAAGATATTGAGCTTGCGCTCGAGACCAAAGATCAAAGAAACCCACATATTGACCCCAGGCCCGTGACAACTATTGACGATGGCAGTAAGAGAAATATCTCTAGGATCTGGAGACGACCAGGGACACGTCTATGATTCATCTTCCACCAGAGATGTCAGACTATCTCAAGTTTGGTGCATGCGATACGGTACAGTACTCACTCATCCTGAGACGTACAGACCAAGCCATCGCAGTAGTAATAACATGCACGTACTGTCAAGACTCCGAAGGTCCGTTCCTGGTGATGCAGTGACTCACCTTCTCTGTTACGAGGTGACTGCTGCACACTCCCCTGGGTGTTCGTGCAGACCTCCATCGATGCAATGGCCAACTCTCCGGACCGGAACGACATTGAAGGTCTTGGGACCCTTGCGCACGTTGGGGGGCCTTCAACGTTAGACTTAGCGAGGATAACAATGCAGCGCTCGCTGGTACCCTGGAGAGGAATTTCGGGCAGGCTAGTACCCGGCCACACCGTCGAGAGTGCTAATACGACTCGGATTCATGTCTTGCTGATTCCGAGCGTAAGGATCTCTACGGCATGGCATGTAAGAGTACGTGTTTCCTGCACATGAGTGATAAACAGCTTGGAGCGTACAGCGTTCGAGAGGAGGCATACAAATCTGCTAGACCGCGTTGAGGATACAATCGCGAGGCCTGAGATGCAATGCAGAGGGAGGAAAGCGAGGAGTTCCACACGAACGCCATTAAAGGTACCACCACCACTGTACAGTCTCCTACGTAGGCCAGTTGGGAGTCCAGACACCTTTCTGACGAAAGAAAGAGCGACTCTTGATGTCTGACAAAGGCTCGCTCACAGTCGAGGTGGCGATTGATTATTCCTCACGCGGTTTCAGAAAGACTACGGGGAGAGTCCCGAGATTTAATTAGGCAGAACGAATGACCTGGCCGGCCTCGGAAGAGGATTCTCTGATCACATCTCAGGTGTAAACCGATATCCTTCCACTGCTCGTCACGCTGGGCAGATGGACGTCACATGTCCGTGGGGAGTATTCCTGTGCCAAGTCAAGCGGCACTGAGGAAGGTCTGTCGCCGTCCAGCGACGCCAAGCCTCAAATATCACGACTGTCGCGTCTACTGGAGATAGCAAACCAAGGCGAAAATACATACAAGACCATATCGTTTCGTCAACGGCCTGCTCTACTCGAACCTCATGCACTCAATATCTATCATTCACTCAGCGAGGACCGTCCACCTGGACGAGACAGTACACTCCCAGTCGTCACCGGCAGATTTCATTTCGAGGTCGAGAAGCCTGCCGACGCAACATGCCATGACTGGCACTACATTCGCGGTCAGGCACGACATTGAGATGTCGGTTCATCGTGATTCGCTTCTCCGCATGGTCGGTCGGTCGATTCATGCTATTAGGGCAATCGAGGCTTAATCACGCACACATGCAGCGGAAAGAAAATCGCAAAGGATGATTGATTCCCACTGACATTCCTTGGAATCTCATTGTTCGAAGAAAGGCGCACTACTTTCAAGCGGCAGACGATGAGCGACGACGTGCTGGGCACACACTCAATTGTGAATTGTACGACGACTTGTGATGTAACATGGTAAAATATACAGAAAGTCGATCACATGATCATGACTCAGCCAAGCCTCCAGCGCACAGCCTAGCTACAGTTGATGGTAAAAATATACAAAGAGTCAATCTCATGATCATGACCAGCCCAGCCTCCAGCCCACAGCCTAGCTACAGTTGGTGCTACAATATACAGAGGAATTGTTCTCATGATCCTACGAGCAAGCCTCGAAACCGACCGAAACCTAGCTTAGCTAAAACAGCTCTTGACAGTTCCCCAGAAAAAGCTTAATACAGTGAATTTAGCAGGCCAGAACCTTCCCAGGTATGCCAGTCTCCTACTTTCTGTGGCAACAGTAGTGACTCCTGAGCTCCAAAGCTGCATACGTCAGTCAGCCTCCCAACCTGGAAAGAGGAAAATGAATTTTGGCTACATTTGAACTTTACAGGGTTAAGATCGTATTGGTACACACAAGAGGCCTTTTCATTCTACCTAGGCTGCTACCGCTGTTGCTGCTGCTGTTGCATCCATCAGTCAATCACGAGGATCCAAACGACAATTTGGTCTGGCCTGGTGTATGGTCATTGAAAATGCGTAGCGACGAGAAATATTTAACTGTAGATATAATGAATGTGGACTGACCCATCTTAAGGGTTGCCATACTTTACGTTAAGGGCCCGGAAGGATTTCTATAGCCCGGTAGCGGTCCTCGCCAACTCCTCCGCTAGTTGCCCTCCACGAATCTTTTGCTTGCTGTCGAGCCTTCCTCCTGTCCTGTCGTCGTTCTGTTCACTTGCACTTCCTGCAAACCGGTTCAAAATGCGACTCGAGAGGGTGTCAGAAATAACTTCAAGTCTTCTGCAGTTTACAAGATATAAAATCTCAGGCAGCGTGTTGCTGGTTACTAGAGCTGATCGCAGCAAGATGACAGTCTTCCACACGTTGTTCCTTCTCAATGCATCATTCAGTTCCCCAAGCGGATGAATATTGTGCTTACAGAGTGGAAAAAGTGGAAAGACCGGCTCGAGTAAAACGTTAACTAACATATACATCACATAGGTATGGTAGACCTAATCAAAATAATAAGAAAGGCTTTAAGACAAATGCAAGACCGACCTTGAGATTTGAATCACATTTGATAAGTCGATAATTCCACGAGGGTGTAAGTTATGACATGAATTTAGTCCATATACTACTTCAGCATCAACATTGCACACAGCAAGAAGTATAAAGAAGTAGAAAAACAGGGATCGAGTTCTGGGATGACATTTGTAACTACAAATAGCTGTCAGTCCTCTGACTCGAAGTTGAGAAGCTGTGCACATTACACTCGAACCTCGCGTTAACTAAAAAAAACTGTACACGCCAATGGATTTTTCTATAAATCAAAGTAGGACACTTCAAAGGTGACCTTGCTACCCTACAACACGAACCCACTTCTCCGCGCACTGGGAGAGAGTTGAGAAATCATCTCTGGAAAACGTGAAAATTTAAGAGAAAAAAGGTGCAGACGTATTTGGTGCCAGATAAAGTCTACTCCTGGAACACCTACTTACTAGTTCTGACTATGTCATCCACCTATCGTTATTACGTTGAGAAATTTCCCTCGCCAATTTATCCTATACACTGTCTAGCTACTCTGTTTTGTTTTAGATGCAATGAAGCTCGCACGTGGAACTGATCTCAGACAAATACAAGCTTATCATGTCTCCCATCAACATTAAGGGAAGGAGATGATAATTGGAAAACTTTGTGAGGTTAGTACGTCAAAATTATCCATCCAAGTTCTTTGTAAAATCTATCAGCCTGCACCGCTGATGTCCTCTGCCCGGGGAATATATACTGAGTCGGTTAGGCAGTGCGATGAGGATAATTTCAGGAAGGATTTCACTGTACCTGCTGGTGCAATAGCTGTAATTTCCGAAAGCAAAGACGTATTTGAAAGTCAAGAGACTGATTGTCTCAAGAAGATGTGAACGCATATGTATAGTTTTCAGGGAGGTTTCTGTGAGACACCAATCATCCTCCCACGCCAATCATCGGCTCCTCTGCTTTTAAAAGGAGACAGTGCAGTTTCTGCAGGTGTCTGACCCCATCCTGATTTAAGTGTCCGACTTGAATCTGATGCAGAACGGACGGCTTCTGCTTCCAAAGTAGTCTCTGCAACTCCATCCAAACTAAGCCCGTAAGAATCTTATTTCTTTCCGGAGAAAATTCGTGAGTATTCATCCGAGGCTACAGATGAACGCTCACAAGACCACCTACTCTACTTATAAATCGATGAACATCTAAGGAGCCCACAGAGCTCTCTTCTTTGTGTGAGCTCTGGGACAAACAGAGATCCCCATTCAGATACTTCCAAAAATCTTCAAGGCCCAAATTCTAGGGTTTACGCGGAAAAAAAAATCTCCTAGGTACCCCTCTTCCCAAAGATCTCACATCATGCGAATACATCTTATATCCGTCATATACCAATTGCAGTATCTATCAAAAGCAACAAAAATCGATCGTCTACCCGCAAGACAATAGCAATATTTCAGTATCAGAAAAGCACAAAGGGAGTAGCCACAGCAGAGGCTGCAAGATAGATCACTCCATGAAAGCACATCCTCTGCTGCTCACGAGTTAAAAGTAGGAAAAAATCTGGCATTAACAGCAGCATCGCGATCTAGACAACAGCGCTAGACAAGACACGGCACTTAAGTCATCACAAACAGGAGGTGAAAGATCATGGAAAGGTATTAGGGCGGCAAGGCGAGACAGAAGATCAACGCCAAGAGTTTCCAGTCGATCGGACATGATCGGTCCAAATTTTGAAGTGATCGATTGCCTATCCGTCGACGGTGATATTACTACCGTGATCTAGAGTTTTAAAGGATAAAGACGACCTTTTCAACTCAGAACAGGACTCAACTATGTACGAGATTCGCCATGAGAATAAGCTTGCAGCAAAAGTTACTCGAACAAAACCATGCATCAAGTACGAAAGACGAGGGCAAGGGACTTACAATCTTCACAATTAATCACCCACTCATGACTGCACAGTTGTAAATAAATCCACTGGTCGGCAGCCAAAGCTCCGTGACAAATCTCCACTTGTCACCTTCATCCACCGAGGGCCTGTAGGCATGAATTTCAGGCAGGAACTGACCTGGTCCTCGTCCGCCAATAACGTACAGTTCATCTCCCACAGCCTTGAAACCCAAACCCCATCCATTCGTGTTTTCGGCTCGGTGTGGAACTTTTTCCAGCAAATGCCACTGCTTCAGTTCCTTATTGTAATGCATGAGCATGTTCTCTATTATATTAATACCGTAAAGTTCGTTATTCAGCACGGCTACCAAGGGTGGTGCGACTTGCGTGCTAGGAACAAAGGACTGCGGCCACATGCCCTCAATCTGGGTCCAGGTCTTTGTCACAGGATCGAAGACTTCCCCGGAATGCAGAATAATATCTTTCTGCTGTAGGCCACCAATTACATGGAACTTTCCATCCATTACAAATCCCGAGCAACACTTCCTTTCGGTGTTCATGTCAGGAAGCAATTCCCACGAGTCGGTTTCTGAGTTGTATCGCTCGACAGACTTGAGGATAGTACCTCGGCTTGTACCTCCAGCAAAATAGGCATATTCGCCGAAAGAAGACGAGCCAAAAAGGCATCGATCCGTATGCATCTTCGGAGTGGTCGACCACACACTCTTGATAGTGTCGAATCTCCAGATCACATACCCATCGCCACCTTGCCCTAGAACGAGCAAGTTCAATCCAGCTACTGTGCTCTCCTTATCGCAAGAATCGAAGACGTAGTCACTAGGGCAAGGAGGAATAACTATCCAGTCGTTAAGAGTAGGCCTGAAGGCGCTCCAATTCTTATCCACATTCACCCCTAAAATAAATACCCAATCCTCTTTCACTGCAAGAGCTCGACGAGCTTTGTAAAGCTCAGGGCCCAGTAGAAAGTTCTTCCACTTCTTGCATACAGTCGCCACCTGATAAATTTTCGACCGAGAAATCCTGGTGAGGCACAACTGACCTAGCTCGTCGTGTATCCAAGGGAAGTACTCTCCTAACCTCTCTCTCTCGGGCTGCTGATCCTGCTCTTGTTCGATCCTCGTCAGACAAAGTTGTCCAAGTTCATCATGAATATGCTCTCCTGCTCTTTCGCTGGGAGAAGCTTCCCGCTGCTCTTCCTCGCGGACGTTCGCGGATCCCACCTCGTGATCCAAGCCATTAGCCATGGCGCTCCTAGTATCACTTTGCAATCTCTTGGGACTGCGATCAGGAACCGAAACCGCAGCGGACGTAGCTGACAGAGTGACACCTCTCGCGCCATGCGAGTATCCATTACGTATAACTCCATTGCGGCCTGCTCCTCTGGTCCTCCCATTCTGATTACTGCTGCTCGATTGCCTCTCACGCCTGGTGGGGCGCCTGACGGGACGCCTTTGCTGATCGGGCTCCTTCGCGGAATGCACAAACTGTGATTCTAGAGCGCTCACTCCGACACCATCACCGCCTCTCATAGCTCCTGCCCTATCTACCTCTTCTGGAGGAGCCCTCGCCGTGGTGCCTACTCTTCCGTCCTCCACGATCACTTCACTCACAGCCACACTCTGAAACCCTCTATGCCACTGCTGTGTCCCGAGTCGGTCCTTCCTACGGGCCGGATAAGGAACACCCACCCTGGTGTCAACACCCTAACAGCACTTCGTCACTCCTCATTATCGAATCCAGTCAATCACGTCCAGACCAGCTACATAAGGAAAGATGTATTTGTCTACGAAGTAGTTCCCAGTAAGCACTCCAAACATGTAACAAGGACCGAGATCTCTGGAACAGATTTCCAACTCACCACAAGTTCAGGCGCAAGCAGCAGCTGCGGCCGAGGGACAGCAATCAATCAAAGAACCGATTGTGCAGGGCCAAATCCGACCAATCCTCTCACCTCCAGCTTCGCGACATGCGAAGCCGAACGTTGGCACGGCCTCCGCCACTATGCAGAATGCGAGCTCCGGCTTCTCGACAATCACGCACGATGACCCGAATCCCGTCTCATCGCATTCTCTACCGAGGTGAGTGCTCCGCGCGCGCGCACGAGCTCGGTTGGTCCTGCTGCTGCTCCTGCTGCTTCTTCTGCTCTTGCTCCTCGTCCTCTCCTCCCTCCTCTACGCTGAATTACGCCTGCGCTGCTGCTGTATGGTCGTCACACTGTTCTCTTGCTTCGCTAATCCTGCCCACTCTCTCGCGGTCGCGCTTATGAGTAGCGAGTGATGCCAGTCCACACTTCCGTGCGGCTCGTCGTCCGCCTGCCTGCCTGCCTGCGTGTAAGTGTGTCTCTCTCTCCCTGCCTGCCTGTCTGCTTCCCTCCGCTACCTGCCTTCCCACTCGCCTTTCCCCGTCCCGTGTCTCCCAGCGTGCTGCCTCCTTCCTCACTGCTCTCGGCTCTTACCACCACCACCACCACCACTGCTGCTGCTGCTGCTGCTGCGCTCACATGACGAATGTTCGGAAAACTGCTCGCAATACACAACAAGCGAGTGGGTACGCAAAGAGTACTCATCAAGCTGCCGAGCCAGCCTCGCCTGGCCCAGCCCAGCCCAGCCCCGCCCGCCCGCCCGGCCCAGCGCAGTAGAGCACACAGCGCAGCCCTAGAAACTTACAAAAGCAGAGGACGAGAAGGAGCAAGGAACGAACACAGCTGCAGCAGCTGGCGAGCTCGCGAGACCTGCCCCTGTGACGACGACGACGACGACGACGAAGAATACTCTCTTCTTCTACAAGTAAATGAGACAGACGGGCAGGGCAGGCGGGCAAGGGGGGAGGGGGGGGCAGCCCCAGCTCAGGCGCCAGCCTTTCGTCTGGTCTGTCCCCGAGCGAGCCCGCCCGCCCGCCCGCCCGCCCGCCCGCGAGGGAGCGAGCCAGCGAGCCAGCGAGCCAGCCCTGCTGCACGAGGTGCGGGGCGGACGTGGTTGCATGGTTAGTAGCGTAACCACGCGCGCTACCGAACGCCCGCCACATGCTCACGCGCCTGTCATCCCCGCGAGCGCTGTATTATATAATTTCCGGGGCCGTCACATGTTTGCAGCGCCCTTTAAAAATGGTTTCCGGGCCTGGTTTTCTATGATTTCTCAGATACCTACGGTCGAGTTTCGTGAGCTTTACTCCAATGAGGCTCGTGCCTAGACATAAATTACTCCGGGGGGTGGTGCTACGTGGCGCAGTGTTACCTGTTTTGTTTGTGCCGTTTACTCACTTGAGACTTCTGGGAATCTGGCTCTCTCGAAATTATTTAAAGATTTGTACGTGTCAGGTTATCGTGTCAGATTATCGAGTATTGGCGTCCTTTTCGGCAAAAGGAGGCCCCAGGCTCCCCCCACCCCCACCCAGTCTTTCTACTCTGGTGGAGGTTTGCCGTAGCGCGACATCTCAGTAACCATTTGACCAGCCCCTTGCTACGAGACCGCGTTGAACTTTATCGGCCTTTATCGGGCTCTGACCAGCTGGGCTCCTGGGCCTCGCGAACTTTTCTAGCCACCAGACCCCGACGAGCGGCCGAGTGGAGCGTTGTGTACCCTCCGGGGAATAAAGCGGTCTACCGCAGTTAGAGGCGCAACTCGATCTTTGTCGCAGGAATGGTCACCGGCTTTCTTTCCAACCTGGCAGCGCGCGAGGAAACTTATGAGGCCAGAAGTGTGACCAGGGAACGAACCTTCCCCTTGCCTTGCCTTGCGGTTCGAACTCGCGGCCAGCGCGCCCGCCCCCCCGCCCGCCCTCGGAGGTCCAACGTGACCCGAAGTAGGTGGATGATGCAACAATCAATCTCCGAGGCCTGCCTGCCTCCCCTCCCCCTCCCCCTCCCCCTCCCCTCCTGCTGCTGCTGCCGCCGCTGCTGGCCATCCTGCCGCTGCTCCTGCTCGTTGAAGAGTCCAACGGGGCACGCCCCCTCCCCCCTTGCATCCGAAGCTTCACCTGAGGGGGGTGCCTGGCACCAAAGAATCTCTCCACCTACGTAGTTTAATTAACACATTTATGGAATCGATCGAACGTTTCCAGCTAACCTTCAATCTGATTAGATTCTCGGTTTCAGACAAGATACTGCGAGACCTTCGACCAGACTCCAGACCCGCAGACTCGAGCGCCCTTGTACAACTTTCCAGATGTCAACATTCGCAAAGTACTGCATGTACGTAGCGTAGCCTCTTGCGCTCGGTTTTGCTCGTTTCTTATAATATACTCGCTTTTCATTTCTGCTCAGGTGACCATTTATATCTCTCCCGCTCGCTCGCTCGCTCGTTAGAGGCGTGTGTATGAATTCCGTAAGGACTGCTTCAACCTTTGAAGCGTTCTCGGTTCCTTTTCCGAGATTTTCCAGTACGATACATCGAGAATCAAATCCTGTACTTTATGCAAAAGCAAATTAGGGAACGAAGATCAAGTTCCCAGATTTTATGCCCGGATTATATCATGCTTGCACTACTGGAACCGAACTAAGATATCGGATTTTCCCAAAGACCCTCGATTTAATGTGAATCCTGAACGGCTGTCGCTGCGATTCAGCTACTCTTCTTGCTGTGTGTAAAGGCCGGTGTATGCATACATATGCCATAGTCATGTGTTTACCCGAGAACGTTATGTTCTCACTCTGCATTCTCGATCTAAACGCCCGCCCGCACATCAACTAACAGATCCTGTAGATGAGTTTCGCTTTGTACAGAACAGACCGATACACTCCCTCCTTTCGATGACAAACTACTTTGTATTCTGGAGGCAAGCTACATGAGATTCTCTCTCGTCACAGATATGGACACGACGCAAGTGTGTCAAAGTCACAGTAACAGTCACGACATGGACAATGTGTCAAAGTCGTCATGTCTTCATAGGCATGTCTAGAGTTTCTCTAATTTACCGATTTCGAATTAGCAGGGAGAGTTTCTGAACGAAATACATTTTCGCGTTCCATTTTATGAGTTTTAAACGTTTATTGCCTTAAGAAATGCAAATTTCGTCAGTTCATTCATACGCACACAACGTCTTTCATGATCTGGTGACTCACACTTGAAAAACGAAGTGGAGACCTAGGCTACCGGAACGCAACATTTTTTAGTACAACAAGGATCTCGCAAGGCACCGGGCTAGAAGCACTTGATTTAAATTCATGTCGTGCAGTTGCGCATGTGACTTTCTGCACTGTGATCCAAATGGGCAGTCTAGAAAGTAGGCTTATGTGTTCAATGAATAAAATATTTGTATCTTTGAAAACAAAAATAAGTTGACTCTACAACTTCGCAATTCAACAACTCATTCTGTTAATGAACAAACTTTGTTTCAACTATAAACCGTTTTTCGTATAACTAATAAGTAAGAAAGTCAAGAGACATCCTAACAAGTCTCCCAGCTCTTCACATGTCAATAATTTGAGCTGAAATTTCCCAATTCAGTGACAAGGACATATAGTCTTGAATCAAGCACTCAGTATTTACAATGGTAGGAACAGTTATTGAAAGATTTTTTAACCGCTCTCACAAGCGAAGTGTTATTGGTAGTGGTACACTCACTTCCAAGTTCGAGATCGGAGCATATTTTGATGACAGGGCTGGTTAGGGTGGAAACATCTGTAACTGTATCGTAGGTTGAATGCCACAATTTGAACCAGATACAGTTAATCTCTTCAGTCTTGTAAACTAACTGATTTTTTCCTAATCGAAAGGCGGTACCTCTATAATTTTTTTTATATCATCAGAAAATTTAAGATATATATTTTTTTCTCATAAAGTCAGTAGATGCACACATCCTTAAAGATATTGAAAATAACACTCGTGTTGGATAAGAAAATATAACATTTTTATTAATTTTAAAAATAATAAAAAAACGTAATAATTATATTAAATTACTGTGTTGAAGACTTGTTGAAAAAAAAGTCTTATACAGATTATAATTTATATGCAATCATGATTAACAATCGAAGAAGATTTTCGCACCAGAGTGCAACATTGTCTGAGATTCTGTTTAATCATTTTGATTTTTTTTAAGCAAGGGTCTTTTTGATCTATGTCCTTAGCTTGAAAGCCTGCATAAGTAGGAATGTTTTAAATACATATTGAAATTATACCATTCTATATACGTTCTGAAAATACTTCTGCTTTTGAGATAAGATTTAAAGGTGAATCATAATCGCAGGTGATTTCATAATACGTTAAAAGATTTCTTCTCTTTAGAAAGTTGTGATACGCTTGAAAGATGTTCATCTAAACGTCCAGTGAAATGACATAAATTGTAAAAACTGATTTGCACAAAGCCCTGGTTTTGTCAACTCTTGTCAACGGTTAATAATTTTAGAAATTTCACTACTTTAATCCCTTGGGGTTGAAGACTCAATCCAGATCACACTGTAGTGGCTCATTGAAAACCTATCATTTTAAAAAGAAGAAAAAACGACTGAAAGATTTTACTAAAATTCAGAGTTGAGTTTTTACTATACAAGAGAGTAATTGCGACTCTCATGAAACAAAGTGTATTTCATCACGAGTATGTATACATACGAAGCCTGAACTTTATAGGTCGGACTAAAGTGGACTCCATGCTAAACGTGTATATATATTGAAATCTACAGGATGAGTACCTTAAATCGATTTGTAGCATTACCTTAAGGATAATGCTACAATTCGACCATGACCATATACAGCTCAATGTCAATGCTGAGTGAAAGCTTTTACTCATACAATAAAAACTAGAATAACGCAGCGCCAATCACCTTTCAATGAATAAAAAGTCTTGCATGCACACAATGTTTACACATCTTTAGCACTGCGTGAAAACATCTCTATGCAAATTCGTACAATTTTACTACAGATGCCAGATGTACCCAATACTTTGGTGGTGTACTACGACGTATTTGTAGTTACAAACCCCGTTTGCTTCAAGAAAATGTGATTCTTATTGAACCTATAGGCTTGACTGGTCAAATGAAATAATATGTATGCAAAGAGCATTATTACGCTAAATGAAGAACGCGCATTTAAAGTATAAAATATCTTCTGGGTGTTAGCGTATGGTCAAGCTCCTAATCTCCACTTTCTTCTAATCTCTTGCAATTCAGCATTTGGAAGCATATGCGATAAATGAAGCTGGTTGCATAATCCATTTAAGGCTTGACGATCAGATGCGAAAAATAAGTTTTGAACGCATGAGTACCTTCCAGAGTCATGTGATGTGGCTAAAGAGATTCCTGTTATGGATACGCAGCATGGAATTTCCTGTCATGCGCTCCTTACGCCTTGCTCACTTTATCAACCGCTCGAAGCGAAAGAGGGAAAAAAAAAACAACTGCATCTGGAGCGCCCACCCAATCGCACCACATTACATCGTTCACTTCATGAGTACCCAATGATGGTGATGGTGATTCGAGTATCATCATCGAGCAGGAGGACGTAGCAGGAAATGATCAGCGGCGACCTGCCTGCCTGCCTGCCCGCCCGGCTGCCTACCTGCGTCTCCCTCCGTTTGCACCGAAACTGATTTTAATGAGGCGAGCCTCTGCCACTGTGACGCCTTTGACCCGTCGGGCGATACGCGACGCCATCGCCATCGACGTAGAGCATGAAAGAAGGGGAACGCCGAATGGCAGGAAAGAAGTCGACGGTACCCGAAATCGTAGATGGGGGCGAATGGAAATCGGAGGATGATGTGGCCGCTCAGTCCGGGAGTATCGAGATTCGAGAATCGAGAGCGAGAGAGACAAGTGTGGCCGCGGTTCCGAAATGCGGAGTATTTCTTTCGGTTGGTATTGTACAAGGTGCAGGGATCTGGGATCGAAGATCGAAGACCGTTTGCTGGGTCCGGGGCCGGGTCCGACATTTAATATGCAAATAAATACTGCATACGGTTGGAATCTGAAGAATTCCGAACGGTACAAGTCTTACAACCGATGCATGACAATGGCGACGAATAGAAAACGAGGTTGAGTGAGAACATGAGCGCGATGGTTGGAAAGACAAAGACGGAGACGGAGAAGCGTGCGGCCCGTTTGTCGCTCGCCGGGCTGCACTTCACCTCACACCTTCGAGTGGAGATCTCTGCAACACAGATTCTGCACTGGAGAAGTTTTCGACCAGCGCATCGGGCAGTTCATGACGGCACCTGTAACGGATGCGAGCCGAATCCTGAAATGCTCGTCCGGCTTTTCTGCGGACGATGTATGCGCAAGAAAGGATGATGAACAGAATTTAGGTATTGCGCGACTGTATTTGTCTGTTGCATACCTTGTACAGAATCGAATTTCTGTTCGAGGCCAAGGAATGCAGAGATCCTGCGCCTCCATGTCGACACTATTCCGACGACATGCATGAGGAGGAATAAACGTGACTTGAAGAACTGGTCCTCCGTTTTTTATCACTCCATGTGGGAGCTTACCAAGCTGGGAGCCCAACATGATGCCCAAGTGGCCGAGCAACACAAGAGGGTTGACGAGGCTGAGAGGGCCGCCATTTAGATCACTATGGACTTCGAGGTGCGCGCGAGAAGCCCAGCACAATAAACCCGAGATCAAAAAGTGGAACACGGTTGGCAAGACTGAGCATGGCCGCAGCCGGATTGCCCAAGAGACACGAATATAACTTTAAAGAGGCCAATGGCAATCATATTCTAGAAGGACTCTCTCATCCAGACCTAAGCACGAGGAGGCCCGGAGACGGCTATGGACACCCTCTCCGCCCTTAGAATAGACGTGACCGAGCACACCCACCACCTACGGTACACAAACAGGAAATCGGCCAATTTGCCGATTTCCTTGGGCCAGATCTTGCTACAGTATGAATGCATCGTATTTCTCAAAAGGCCAGGGCCCAGAGTGTGGGATAAAACCCCAAGATTTCATTTCAGTAAGAGTCTCTTGAAAATCTTGGGTTTGATTGCAAGACCTATCTCCTGTGTACGATGTCTTTCTTACATTCCATGACGCTGAGGTAGCGGAAGACAGTACGTCTACTTTAAGTTGTAAGAAGCTCATGCTGCTGAGAAGTGTTGACTGAGTTGAGTGTTCAACGAACGACTCTTCACCAAGTCAACACTTCTTATCAGTCTTGTTGCTGCTCCTTTCGGCTGCCGGGCTGCCAGATATCGGCTGAGAATGGAATTCTCTTGCACTTTGTTTGACGGATGGATGACAGACAAGAGGTCCCATTCGTTTAGATTGAACAGTGAGATTATACAACTCCGTCCCGCTCCCTCATATCCGGTAAAGTTTGAGCTACTGTGCACTTACGCTGGTTCCAGTCTCCTCAAACCGTAACGAAAGTACAGTAGTTGGTAGCATCCCAATCAGACCACTCACAAGGGGATTTTGAGGATGAAGTGGTGAGTGGAGTAGCGTTTCCCCTTGAAGAAGTCAGACTAAGAAGAGACTACACGCTGTGCAGTGTGGTCCACGGGTCGACATGCTAACCGGTCTGGGCCATAATGTGACTCCAGTTTCCGTGGTAGTCAATGAACACCAAGTAACCGTTTCCATATAAGCTGCAAGATAAGCAAAAGTACTGAATAAGTGTATGCAAGTGAGAGAGTCAAATGTATAGGTGAATCTTCAACAGAGGGTTTTTCCAGCCTGGACCGAATTTTCCACAAGGATTTGCATGTAGTGTCTCCTCTTTGTCACTCATGTCATTGAAAAGTTTAAGAAACGGATGCATCAGTTATCTTTGCTTGTCACTATGATAGAAGTCCTCGTGGGATGAAGATTACAGAATCCTGGACCTGAATTGCTACCGAGTCTTCGGCACGTTAGAGTGTCGACGATGTAGGTATGAAGCAATTGTCAATTTCAGAGGATGGCTTGAGGAGATTGATGGAGCAGGTCTTGACTAACAAGTCAGGACCTGCTCCATTTAGATGTAGAGACGTACAGAAGATAGTGTACAAACTAATTTTGCTACCCCGAGACGATAGACCTCCAAAAGGAGTACCGAAGTTCAGTTACAAGAGCACAGGACCAATGATCAAGACGATTTCTCTTCTCCAGAAGAGGCTGACTGCTAAAATCTGTTCCTTCGTTCCTTCTCCACTCGATCTCTTGGGGAAGATGTCTACTGGCTCTTAATGGTCAGGAATCTCGTGAATCATCATCATCCAAGACTTCCGTTATTTCAACAGAATGGTCCAGAGCCGTCGAAATTCAGTTTGGAGCACTAACAAGACGTTGGCAAGTGTGTTGAAGCAGGTACAACGAGACTAATTGGAGATTTCACGAATTGGGAGATTCAAAAGATGTAGTCTCTGCCTTCCATATCGTATACTCTGGCCCTGTCTATGCAGTCGAGCACCTTGGTGCTGTATTGCACTGAATGATACTCCGAGGTTGGCAACGCGTGTGTGGGTCTCTTCAATCTCCTCCGAAGTAGCAGAGGTCGAGAACACTGATTTCTTGCACCGTGTGAGGAGGACGGAACTTCATACTAAGGGATCAAGACCTTCGTGACCTACTATCTGAGGCCTCCAAGATTGACAGTCAAGGTAAAGACATCATTTTGCCTGTAAAGAAGACTCCTTTCCATGTAAGATGCAAATGAGCTATTTGAAAGAGCGTTCGCTGGAAGGAAAGCTAAGTAGAAGACATCTCTCAGAGCTTGCGTAAGGTGTTGGAAGTAGGATGATTGCTACATCCATGACTTCCACATCGTGACGAGATTCAAGTATTCGAAGCACAGCAGCATTTATCTGAGTAGCTCGAAATCGGTGATACCATGACACACGATAGTCCTGGGTTTGAGAACGATAAAACTCTCAAGGTCTTTGATAGGGCTCGTCGACATTGTGCAGCAGTATCAAGGACTGGATATCTTGCGTTGGAACCATTTCCGAGATTCAGACGATAAACATGTAGAAACAAAAGCTTCCGTATGCCAATGGCAATTTTTCTCACCCGGTCCTGATAGTTTCGTTCAGAACGTGACCTCTTCCGCGTAATTGTAATAGAGGCAATAAGGGTAATCGTCCATGGAGACAATGTGTCGAGAAGCAAACCTGTGTAGAGAGTCCGAATTACAATATTATCTGGAATTCCTAGCCGTAACTTGCGCTGATTTGTCTCGGGGATAGCAACTTCAGATGGTGGCAATCCAGACTCGAAGAGAATGACATGTGACTTGTGACAAGGTCACCTGTCATCCTCTCAACTAGTTCGTAATTTTACAAGGCCACTGTCATCTCCGAAACCTGGTAGTCGGTGACTACCTGCAACACTGCCAGATCACCCGACTCGGCTGCCAACTACCTCTCCAGTAATCCCACCGCAAGACACTTACAATCTCTACTGAGAAACTATCACTGTCGAGGACTTTCAGTTGCAAAGGTCATAGGAGAACTCTCCTCCGCATGCAGCTCGAGTTCAAGGATAGCTTGAAAGCAAATCTATCTGTCTACGCTGCACATTTATTCCAACACGGAAAAGTTCGAACTTTCTTCGTGCCCAACAGTCCGCTGTCGAAAACCGTGAGCTCTCCTCGTTCACACTCTCTTTCCACAGACGCAAAAGAGTAAGTTCAATTTTACGCTACCACTTCGGTTTAACGTTATCGTGCAAGGTCCTGATGAAGAAACCCATTTCGCTTGAGGTCCACTGATGGCGGATTCGTTCTTGGCCAATGAAGAGCCTTGAAGATAAAGAGCTTACGCATCAGAGAGTTCCCACCAGAAAGACCATTTTAGATCTCGATAAAATGGCCATACACACTCCAAAGCAACACTTAGTACAGAGAGCTCGTCCACGGATTAGTATATTGTACGTGACTCTCGAAGTTCGTGGTGGTCCATACTTCTGGGAGGACTTGTGGTCACAAATTAATCAATTTACTGGTTTATCTCTCATCTTGACATCTCCTAAGTCGAGAGCAATCTGATTGCGCCTAGTTCCTTGATATTCCACACCCCAATGATCGGATCCATTCGGATCGGGAAGATTGTTCGCCATCAATCTCAAGGACATTGCGCCGGAGAAAAAAATGCGAACCTACCGTAGAGTAGAACACTAAATGGATGGAAACATTGTAAGTCAAGAACGTCGTAAAGTGCGGAGAGGAAGACTCTCGACAGACGGACACAAGGACGCTCATTCCGGAGAGGTCCAGTCATTCGGTTGGAAAGTACGCCTGACAGACCCGAGCAATCATTTTCGACATAGTGGATGAGACTTCGACCTGACTTGCCAACACACTCCGCCATCTGCTTCAAAGCTCTTCGCAAATTGAACGAGGGCGAAGCAAGGGGTTTCGAGATACAGAAAGAAAGCACCTCCACCGAAGTACGACAGCTGAGAATCACGTCGAGCAATTCACTTCCTATCGTCTACCTCACTCACCTATCATTGACGGGTCCCGCGAATCTGTGATTGATCGAAAGCGGCCCGAGCCCAAAACCAGCGGGATCTCGGCCTGCACCTGCCGGTACCCTGCTGCTGCTGCTGCTGCTGCTCGCACCTCATATGCACTCACAGCGTGTCCGCCGTGGTACTCTGGAGATCTCGCGTACTCTCGACACCCATGCAGTCAGCCTCTCTGCCAATAGCCTCGCATGGAAAAGTCGGAAATAGGGAAAGTATCGTGCCAATGTGATCTGGACTGCGATGGATTGTACGCGCACTCGCTAGCAAATCCTAGGGTTTTTTTGGCATCGTCCTTAGCTCGACTTGGCTGTGATCAAAAGAGCAGACAGTCTGGTATGATGGCCGTGTAGCGAGGGAGGAAGGATGTACCCCTGTACCCTCCTGGTCTTATGTTATGGTAGCAGCTCAGAATCCGACCGAGCGAGCGAGCTTACGAGCTCTCGACCTGCAGATCTGTACTCGATTCTCCTCCATGTCCATCCATCCTTCCTTCCTTCCCTCCTTCCCTCCTTCCTTCCTTCCTTCCACGCACCGCCACTGCAGAATGACGTCGGTCTCCGAGCTGGACCTGATCATGCCGGTCTAACATCATCAGGGTCAGAAGATAGCTCGCCCAGTGTTCAGAACCAGAAGGTGCCAAGATTTTCGACCCAAATCACATCCAGATCTCAAGTGCGGCATTTTTGTTAGAGAGAGAGAGAGAGGCAGAATACTCGTACCGTATCTACCGAGCTCTGGAAACACGAAGCTATTCGTCGACGTACGGGGCTGAAGCTGGTCATGGCTGCTGTGTCTGCGGGGTCTGTAGACCTGGCGTTACTGGTTGTGCTACGGTAGTACTGCAGGGCACAGTGAATCGTGTGCTGGCTAATCGAGATTGCATTAGAGGGATGCCTTACCTGGGGCTTATGTCATGAACGCACGCTAAAACAGCGCTGGATGAACTGAAAGTGACATCTTTCTGGAAGTGTCGCTTGGCAGCGACGATCGACTGATGGGATGGGGATTTACTTGGATCCGAGTGAAAATCTGCTCAGTGGTGGCATAACAGTCGTTCGCTTTGCTTGTTGCGCCCACCACCCACCACCGCCCGCCCGCCCGCCCCCAGCCCTGTCGACCGGGTGTGGTGACTAACGACAATGAACATAAACTGAGCGCGTGGATTGCAGCTCCAGCGGGAGACAAATCAGTCATGAGCTAGACATCTGATTCTTCTGACTTTCGCCATATCTGGTTTTCTGATGCTGTCATCGACTATAAACAGAGGCCTCGGGTTTTGGAGCTCAGTATTAAATACTTAGTCGATCGGTTAATGTTTCCTCTTCTTCTTCTTCGTCGTCGTCTCGTCCCTTCGCCGGGATCGAAGCGAGTCTTCGTTTCGTCTCGGGCACAGTTCGAGCTCGTTGTATGCGGAACGGAATTTTTTCAGACCCGGAAAGCCATACGTCTATCCTTCGTCTAGATAGATCTAGATGACGTAAAATCGCCAACGATGTCTCCATGATCTCGTCAAAAAGTGCTGAATGTAGGTTCGAGTGTCTAGATTACAAACTGCTGCCGCTGCTGCTGCTGCTGCACGTATGGAAACAGTGCAGAAGCGCTGGGAACCATTTTTCTGCTGGGGCGTACCTGCTCGTTCTGATTGGCCCTGCGCGCAGGAACGTTACATCTCCCCTGCAGATGAATCTCAAACTGCGTGAGCACGAGGCCTTGGAGGGAGGGAGGGCAGGCAGGCAGGCAGGCAACAGATGTCGATCGATGATCTGCGGCAGGAGCGGGGGCTGGGCTGGGCTGGCCATCTGTCTCGTGTAGATGGCAGTGCCATCTACACGTGCCATCTCTACTCGTCTTTTTGCAGCAGCGTACATTGCGGTTGAGTTCCGTCTTTGCCCGAACAGGTGCTTACTCGGGAAGGAGATGCCCGCTCATCTTTTGGAGGGGATTGACGCTCCCTCATCTTTCTCTGACTGTTTTATCTCATCGATCCTGGTGAGCTCAGGGCAGGGCAGTGCAGCCAGAGCTGCACTCTCCTGCCCTGAGCCGTTTCGTATTTCAGATACGGTCTTACTATTTCCTCTTCGCTCAGTCCTGGGCCCGGCCGCCATCCATGGACGGTGCTCTGTTGCTAGCCTCTACGGAGAACATCTCAAAGCTCACTCACTTCTGCGGCGGATAAGAGCTCCATAGCCAGCAGACCGGAGGCCTTCTGAGATAGATATCTAGGCGCAGATGGTTGAGGAATTCCATCGCAGAATGCTACCAGGATGCAAGCTTTGCAGAGGTCCATACGATCGCTACAGCGCACATAGCTCCACCGTATCCTCATAGAATAGACTCAAGGTATGCTCGAGCCATGAACTGAGTCGATCACGAGGAATCATTGCTTTCGACTGTCTGTCCAGTAGTAAGTAGACTGGGCTAGGTATGCGCAGGATTGGTATCATCAGCAGCGGTCGATCGATGGCCCACCGGATATGGACCACAGACGCTCTTTCCAAAAGGGGGAGTGTACGTCTGATTTCGTGTATGTGAAAAAATCTGAACCTCAGCTCACCGCCGGGCGGGAGGGAAGAGTGACGTGTTTCGTCTCTAGGAGACAGCAATGATTGATAAGGCTAGGAAAAACGTGCTCGCAGGTATCTCACTCGCATCATCATGTAGCTTTTCATCCTCTCGCGGATGAAAAAGCTCACTTCTTCTCCCCGCGCGATCTCATACGAGAGCCCAAAGTTGGTAGAGCTCGATGGCATACTCTTTTGAAAGGTCCAGATGCGGACCATGTGCTGAGCGAGCGATCTGACTGAGTGAGAGACTCTCTCGCGCTGCCTCTGCACTTCTCCCCACCTCAAGCCCCGCCCCGCCCCACCCCCGGTCCCACTGTTTCGATATGACTGTCAGTATGTGCCGACCAGAGGACACTATCATGATGCATACACTGGCCATTTCTCCGTTTGTATCTGCGCAGCTGCCCAAAGGACATAACCGCTCGCCGGATTAAGCACAAGCTGCCTGGCCTGTACCACTTGGGGCAGCAGCATGTGCTTCCGGTTCGGTTCAGGTCGAAGGGAGAGTATGGAAGCATTCAGACGACAAACATGTAAGCCGAGTTGGGATCCCAACCTTAAACCCTGTCATTCTACCATCGGACGAGTGAGACACAAGGCTGCCAATTGGTCTGCCGACCATTCCAACTAGCCACATCTAAATACAACTTTTTCAACCATTCTTAGACAGAATTCCTCGACGACACTGCGCAAGCTGCTGCCGACAGTCGTCGAGCGAGACTTTCACGGCATTAATTTGATCCACGAGTGTAACACGGAGCAAACGTGTCCCGGCCCCGCCTCGTAGCAGCAGCGGCAAGCAGTATCAAGAAGCCTAGACATACGTGATACCGACGGCTCACAGACCTACAATCCACTTCCGCCCTAGACCTTCCCCACAGCCATCACCACTCAACAGTCACTAGCACATGAACAAGAAGAATTGAAAGAACCAAACCAAGAAGAATAGATCTTGCCGTGTCCTACTGACTAATACCCGTCAGGAATTGCCATTCTCGGTACATCGACCTGCTGTGGCCTCAGTGCACTAAATGCTGGTAGGCTCGAATCGAAACAGGAATGAGCTCCGACAATGGGTATAACCACATTGCGTATCTGTCTGAGAGTGGCAAGAGTGAAGGGAATGAAGTAATTTCGAGGTGTCAGTGGCGCCTTCACGATGAACTCTAGAGCACAAGGACATACATTCAGCATCCTCCGCTACGATGTGAAGATAGTGAAATGAAATGTACAGACAGACAATGTTGATACAGAAGATGGAGATACGGATTACGCAAAAAGTGAGATCTGTCCACAGTTTGCTTACATGCTTCGTGTGAGGAGTTGGTCTGCACTCCCAGAGATACGGAAACATCGAAATATAACTACAACACGAGTTCCACCCGTTCTGCTGCACCTATGAGCCGCTCCTATCATGTCACAAATTGAATTCCAGAGGTTTTTCCTCCAGCCAGAGAGAATCTCAGCTCGGGACCTCCCGGCCGCCTAAAGGCAATGGTATGTCACGAGAACTACGAAACTACGGAAGTTCATAACATAACCGAGGAAGTTGCTCTAACCTGCGCAGCTCCCTACATCCATCCCTGTTGGGCTATTCTGCTTTGCGCGTTGCCTCGACAATGCTGGATACGATAAGCGTTCGCTTGCGTGTGTGAGAATGTCACTCGGAGATTCATGATTTCTAGAAACTCAAGAGAACTCGCCCGTGACTCGAAGGTTCTGACGGACATGACCCAAGGGCGATCATGTGAAGGGAGGAAACCTCAAATTACTAGCATCGGCCGCCGGATAGCTGGCAGCTGCAAGCGAGCATCAATCAAGAAATCCTGGCATTCTTTCGAGAACCAGCAGCAGCCGCAGCCAAGTCCACAGCACTTAAGACAGCGCTGCGGCCAAATTCACGACAACCATCACGACGGCTGCTGTCACCAGCGTGGGCATGCTCGCACAGGCTCTGGACACCCCATTTGTCCTCCCCGGGGAACCCCTCCGTGCGACGGTCTTGACGCCCGCAATCTCCGTGGCCTGCAGCTGCGAGTTCTTCGCCTCAGCGAGAGCTTCGGTCCGAACGCTCGCGCTCGCGCTCATTTTCTCGACGGCTGGCATGCTCTCGGAGCTGTCACAATTCGCAGACTCAATCAGAGACACGAGAAACATGAGCACCAGAACGGCCCCGTAGACCTTGCGGGAGACGGACGAACACCTCGCCATTGTCGTTATGGAGCTGGCGAAAGAAGAGTCGATGGGAGTGAAGACGAGATAAAGCTTACGGTGGACGATGGCTAACAGAGAAGCTCGGATTCAGCAGGGGAAGCGACACATTCGTCGACCTTCGGGTGTCACTCGCACGGGAATGCACACTTGCTGATGGTAGAAGAAGATCGGGGGAGAAGCCGGGGGCGGGAGCTCGAGCTTTCCTCTTTCTGTAACAGTGCTGATGGTGGATGATACGTCCTCGGCCTCCGGCAGCCTTTGTATATAATGGCGCGGTCCGAGCTCCGGCCGGATTCGGCAGAACCTCACTAGAAACTCTGCAACCCTGCGCTGGGACCCACAAAGTCGCCACCTCCGTCAGCTCGATGTTTATTGCCCTGAAGAGATGTCTTCGGTTTAATTTCGTGACGTACTCTGGGGAGATCTTCGGTTGCGGACAGAGAATGAAATTTATTATTCTCAGACTCCTGTCTCGGTTGCCGCAGGATCTGTTGTTTCGGTGATGTTTCTACCCTCTCGAGCTTTCGACGCTTTGCCCGGCTGAGATAAATTGTGTTGAATACGGCTCGCGGACTTCCAATGAAAAGCTCGACGTTCATCCCGTTCAGGAAGAAAAGGAGAAACGAGGTCGCAAAGGTACCCAAACGCAATGAAGTCATCGCCGCGGAATTTGCTGGAATTTCTCTCATTAGCTGGCTCAAGGCATCTTATTATTGCTCAAACCCCAGTTCGTTCTCGTACGCTCGCATTTATCTGTCCGATTACCGGATGATGGATGAACAGGTAATTTGTCAGGGATTCTGCGAGCGTAGTTTTCGGCCGGAGCCCAACAAAAGAACAAATACTTGCACATTCTTCATCCGCATGACCGGTCGCGAGTCAATAACTCGTCAACCAGTAAACGCAACCGGTCAATCATATGACTCGCTGTCAGAATGCAACAGTCGAACGAGGCTCGATGTGGCCAACGGTTGTCAAGATAATTGGGCTTGGGCTTCGCCCGTCGGAGTTTCAACATACTTTACTCCAAATTAAGGTCCACATGCTGCTGATGCTGCTGCTGCTGTTCCATGAGAAAGCTCATGTTCGAAGGGGTTGGAGTATGCGCAGCTCTTCCGATGACGATCTTCAGGCTGGCACTTCAAGTACAAGAGCAGGTGTATTATATCCATTCTCCTCCCAACTGAAAACATTAAGGTCTTTACGTTGACCACAGGCCGGCCGGCGATACAGGAAGGTTGAGATCTCATCGTAGACTTTCCTCAACTCCAAGAGGAAATAATTCTGAATGAAAGTGAACAGCCAGCGAGAATTCTTTCCCTTGAGAATTTCCAGCGAAAATAGGTTGGAAATCAGATGGGGTACATTATACAATATACAACACGTTTGCCACAACACAGCATTCATTAGACGCTCCGCAAATATTGAGCCACAACATTATGGTCCGGAGAGTCTTATGAAAGAACGTGGAGGCCTCAGGTGGTTCCAGCTTTGTGAAATTCGGATGTCTTAGTGAACAAATTATATAAATTTTTAAGAACTGACTTCGACCGGACAAGTGGAAAGGCTGGGCAATCTTTCTTATAGTCTCCATGGCAAAGCCCCATGAAAAGTCTATCTATAGAACCACGTTCTTCGAGTTGTGAGAAAGTGGTCCTGGACTTCGCACTTTGCGTTCACTCGGCATCTTTTTTATATCAACCTTCTGCCATTGGTGAATTCCCAAGAGGATGAGGTAAAAGGTTGTGCTTATGACTAGAGACTAGATTGTCCTTGGGCAGAATCTAGCCACATACCAAATGGGAAGAGCTCCTATTTATTGGCTTCGTTTGTCCATTTGCAGATGACGGTGATTATTTCGACGCCGGTGTGGTTTGTTTCCGCTCGAGTCCTGGATAGAAGTTACTCTTTGAAAAAAAATCGATTCCCAACGACTTTTGGGAGAAAGTCATGCAGTCCCTTGGTACATCTCAGAGAATAATGAAACTATTTAAACAAGATTTTACTTCTCCTCCTCCTCCTCCTCCTCTCTCTCTTTCTCTTTCTCTATCACACGAGGCTGAGATCACTTTCACCTCACATTGCGGGTCAAAGTTGGCATTCACAAACTTTTGTTCCCCATATGGAGAGACCTTCCAAGGGAGCCGTATCTGGTTATAGAATGGGAAGGTGGAATGAAGTTGGTTATGAAGTCTGAGACCAACCATTGGCAGTCACTCAGAAGAGTCTCATTTCGCTATATATTCTCAATTCTCAATTCCCTGGAGGAAGGTTGTTGCCGTTGCAAGCGGACTGGTTTGCGTGGGCTTATGGATGTCGAGGGCAGGTGTTCGTTCACACAGCAATTTTGCTCGTCATACTCGACATAACAAGGCTAGGATTTGAGGTTGTCCTCGAGGGATAGTGGTCGGTCGGCAAAATGAACACAAGATCTAGGCTGATAAATAAACCTTCGGGAGCTTAGTTCGTCCGACCTTTGCATGAGCACAGGGGACGGACTAGAGCCTCGAGGAATGTCTGGGTTAGTGGGCCCGGCTATTGCATCGACTGTCAGCCGTCCTGCTGGTTCCGACATCACTGCACAACCGGGTCGCAACTGGGGTCGATCTTGCTTTTGTCTCTATACTTTTCACGTTGTGCACTCTCCGAGCGCAGCTTTAAATCCTCCGATAAGGACCTGTCATAAGATAAGGAAGATCTGGCTTCGGTGCTTCGCACATATCTCCCGCCATCCAGCCAGAGGTTTTAACTACAAAACCTAATGTAGACGGGGAGGACGAGGACGAGGACGGGCCTTGGAGCCTATAGAAATACCACTACTATGATTGTATACCACCGCCCTCCGAGTTGGGAGTCCGAGATGGATGTTCGGCAAGGATACGCTGTTAGGATAACACCTTCTGTCTGCTGACAGCTCGCCCACTGCTACCTCCTCCGGCTCAGTAGGAAAGGTCGAAGAGAATCCCTGAAGTTGTGAACTGTTACAGGATCGTTGATAATCAGTGGGGTTTCACAATCAGATGAGTGCAATCTCCCCATCTCTGAAGTCAAATGCGAAATACACTTGCGATGTATTTGGGTGGTTGGTCTGGACATGTAGGTAACCTTGCGATTGTCGTTGATGTTTCCTCGGGAACGTTTCGAGCAATCATGCATGTACAAACCAGACGGGGAAACCTTAATAGGAGCTGCAAATAAATTCCATTGACGGAGTTCACGTTCCTCTACTGACGCATGCCGCTAGGGTTTAGGGCCCGCATGACACTAATGGAGGGGTAGAAATCTCCATGTGCGAAGAACGCGTCATTGTGGAAAGCTACAAGTACTACGGTTCCTTGTCAGTTCCAGAGTGGGTCACCCGGACCAAGCTCTATTAGATGAGGAGGCTGTGAGGACCCGGGTCGAGTCGAGTCGATAGTTTTGAAGAGTTCAAGGACTTCAAACATCTGTACTCCCCAAAATTGATACATGTACAGGAAGGAATGTCAAACCAGCATGATCCTGGAAAGTGATCCCGGCTTCATTCCATGCATGCCTTGGAAGCAATGAAGCGATTATAGAGCATGACACTTATCAATAGATCAATCAATGTAGATCGCACTCGTCACGGTGTGTCGCACGAATGCTCTTCACGGGATTGAAGAATGGCAAAAGTACACAGTCCTTTGGTCAAAAGCTCGCTTGGATCCGCCAATGACGTCGAGAATATCGATGGGAAAAACTAATGACACCATTAGGACTGTGGTGACTGTATCTGCATCTCAGACGGGGAGCATCCAGCTTCATCCTTCCTCGAAGCAGCGTCTCCATCGTTCAGGAGATCTTCTCGGACGAAAGTTGTGCCTGAATACAAAGCCAGCATCGACGGCCTGAGTCTCTCCTTCCAAAGAGACGCTGCTGCCGCACGGCGTAGGGCAACCCCAACGCCGTGTGGGGATATAACGAAGTACGAAATACTACTTTCACCGGGACGTATCCGGCATTCAAAGAAAAGACCGTTGAGGCGATTCGCATGTTGTGTTTAGAGGAGTATTTGCGTCAGATTACGCGACTATTACACCATGTACGTCAGCCGTAGAACGGATTAATCGTCAAGATGCCGGATGCGCTAATCTAATATAGAATCACAACCTGTACATTACTGTACCTCTTTGTATTCGCATCTGCTGCAGCTCGCTGCCATGTAGTTCTGCAATATGCTCTAGCTCATCTTTTGCGGTACAGAATTATTCAAAAAACCACAGATTCGGTACTCTAATATTCGAATCTGGGGTGTGCAATATGCACACCCCGCATATAACACAGTTAACAAGGTCCTAATTAGCAGAGGTTTGAGTTTAGTTTTAAATCCTGGACTCACTCTAAACCTAGAATAGAAACGACTTTATATTTAGCTTTAGAAAATCCAATTATTTCTATGGATTGTGTAATTATTTATTCTTCAAGTAAGATTTTTACAAAGGATGCCCTTTAAAAATCCATACTCTTCAATATGTACATGCGACGAGTGCAATAAGAACAAGGGATATCAAGTATATGTGTTGTAATGTAAATCTAGCTTTGGAATATATGAACTATGAATATCGACTCCAACATATGTAAAACTACCAAATATCTTGAGAATTCAATTATTTAGTCATTTAATTCAATAAATATCTACTGCTTGATAAAGAATTATTTGTAAGAAATTAATCAAGCTTATGATACGCTCTTTCATAGCTTGAGATTTTAGTTAGAATATTTGACATAGTTGATTGCAAAACTTAGGTTCGGCATGACATATTGTACATTTTGATGATTTTAAAAACTATAACCACTTTATCCTTTTATATTCATCCACGTATGGTTTAATGTATCTTCTATTTTAAATATCTTTGTGCTAGAATGAAATCAAATGACGTGTTAACAATTAATGAAATGACCTTATTACAAGGTGGCCAAGCCAAGATGGCATTGCACACATCACCCTTGTATAGTGATGGCACCTTCCTACCATAACATATAGTCTATGCACATCATCTTGAAGTTGTTTGACTATTGGGAGGGAAGAGTAAGATGAAATATTATCTATCTACAAGGAGCTAGATTCTAATATCATCACAAATATGTAATATAAATGTCCACAATCATATGTCTCCAAAGTTGGAGTAGGCAATGAGGGAACTTTTTGCATATCTTTATATATGTCGCCCATCCAAGAATAAAGCTGGGCAAAGATTGCGAATCCATTTTGACCCTGTGTGACATGTAATATCTGTAAACAACATCTGAAATAGTAATTTGTTTCTCGATAGTCAAATATATATATATATATATATATATATATATGTACACCCAAAATATATTAACAATCAATTTGAATTATCCACCATATTCTGCCCTTGCAAAAACCTGATAGTCCTATGATCGGAAAAATGCTTCCCTCCTACTTATGAGGCGTATTATCAGTAAGTAGATCCAAGACTGTACAAAAAGATTTTCTGGCGTTGAGGGTTTGATGTGTCTGATGAACACGCTTTGGGCGGACTTGAATGAGTCTCCCATGGAGGTCGTCTAATGTCATCCTTTTCCGTGCAATTGAGATTCCTGCCCCGTCCCCGGGAGTTCCATGCATGACGTAAAACAACATAAATTGTTGCCTTGGGCTAGCAGCATAACATTGAGCTCACTCAGATTTACACTACACCCACAGAAGATCTGTCCGGCAATATGGAAGCTAATTGTAGGAAATCTGAGTCCTCTGTTCATGGAATGTGTGTTCCGCAAAACGGCCCATGGCCTATCTCGGAATTTCATAAATTCAGAAGTGAAGGGTTTGAGCCAGTTACAAGCGAGGCCAAAACTCAGAGCCATGACTAGATGGAAGGAAATCTGGGCGAACGCGATGGCGCAAGGTCATATTCAAATATCAGACTCAACGGTATATTCCCTTTCTAGAGCGTATCAAGATACGCCCATGGAACATACAAAGCTGGGTGCGTTGCGTAGGAGTAGACTAGCGAGAAAGGAGGCAACATGAGGATGTCTGCGAGGGAGACGATGCAAATGTGCGAAGAAGGCTAATCATAATGCTGCAGGTCCTCAGGGATTGTCTGCCTGTCCTGGACACGAAAGGACAGTCCTGGATTCCACTGTGTCCAAGTCCAGACCTGGCACCGTTAGTACATCACATCGCATCAGTGGGAGGCAGATTACGTCCACAAACGTCCGTCACATGTTCCCGCAGTTGCAATTTACAATGGTCGAGCTGCAGAGGGGTCCTGGTCCTGACCAAAAGCAAGGGGTCACGAATGACGTCTAGGGCCACGACGTATGTGATTATGCCAGCAGCATCGGAGGAAACCGCATGTTCGCGGATTGGCAGATCTAGAAGAAAAGGCAATCCAAAGTACGTTTTGTTCACCTGTGATTGATCTGTTCGATGACTGGACTGGCATGGACTACCTCTAACGATCGATCGCATCACTTGAAATCTGCCAGTGGAGTGCAAGTGTACTGGATTCATGAGTGCTACCCTATGTTGAGATGCTGGTGCCTGAGCTTTGTGTGCTTTGAATATCTTTTCTTTCTATCGTAGATGCTCAAAAGTTCGCTGCATTCAATGACTTCCGGGTCAGTTGCGCTCAAGTGAGTGACCCCTACATAAAGAAAGAAATACGATTTTCCTGTAGAATCTAGAACACCGAGATCATAGCCAATCGTGCAATATTTCCCCTCGTCCAACGATCATTCAGAATGAAGCGAACTATAACATCAAGCTCCTTGTTTATCTCCTATAAGTTCGTCGGATGGTGAAGGACTGAACTTGCGTTAGCCATGTCTTTAGGTTTGCTCTGGTTTTGGACAGGCGACTCAACTCCATTCCTGATCATGGTAGTCGCTCCGAGGCCTTGCTTGCCATCGGGAGACTAAGCTAAGAATTCCAAACATGTCTCTCTATCTAACCTACCAAATGCTCTACGAATTCTGCGGAAAACTTTTGCATGCATGCAACGTGCTCACGTGCATTTGCTCTCACAGCGGACTTTATCCTCTTCCTTTCTGCATTGCTGGGAACCTTGCCTGTCCGGCAGACTGGGCAATATGCCCAAGAATACATACTGTCTCTAACAAATACGATTCAGGCTCACAATTCGAGATACACTCTAAACGACTTTTGCTAGGTGAATGGACGATACATGGTAATCAACACCAGCCGCTGATCAGAACCATGTGAGTACAGCAGCACACATACGAACGAGGTCAAGAGGTTTTTCTCCTCGTAACGAGTCGCCCCAAATCAACTACAGCAGAGTACCTTCACAGACCGCGCTCTTGTCGTCAGTCTCAAGGCAAAGTGCTTTAATCTGCGCGGGACCAGAAGCATTCATAATTTCCATATGTGCATTTTGCATTGAATTGAGTTGTTGTGCATTGCTTCTCCTTTCTGATGACCTGAAAGTTAGCTGCACGTTTCAGAAGTGCTAGTAGCGAACGTTACGCTGATGTGACTTACTTATTTGGTGGAACAGAGCGCCCACAATTTGAAAGGAAAAATTAGAAGAAATCATGATCTGTCCTTGTCGATTTCCTTTAGCAAGGTTTCCAGCTGATGCAGCATCGCTCTATCTCCGGTCTTCGCTGCCCGCAGGTCCATAATGCCCTTCAAAACATGCACCTCCTCTCGGTGATTCTCAACGACCTTTTTCAGCAACGTCCAGGGCTCGACCATGGCGCTCAGACCGTTCACGCTATCCTTGTTCGTTGGTAATACATCCTCGGCTTTCTTCTTCGACCTTTTCTTCTTCTTCTTCTTCTTCTTCGAATCGTCTTCGGAGACCGATACAGATTCGCCGTCCGGATTTAATGTTTTATTTGTCCTCGATGAACGTTCCTTCTTAGGTTTCGTCGGCTCTGATCTTTCCTCAGCCAAAGCAGACTCGTCTTTCAAAACTTCATCCTTCTCTTTCAGTTTAGATCGACCTTCCTTCTTGGATTTTTTGGGTTTCACTCCCTCTGGCTTCACACTCTCGTCTTTCAATCTCGTCTCGGAACGACGTTCCTTCGTCGCATTTATCGGCTCAGAATCAAATTTAGAAAATGAAACCACTTTCTCTTTCTTTGAACGAATCTCTTTCTTGCTCTCAATTGGATCTGATCCCTCTTTAGCAGACAAATCCTGGGATCTTCCTGAATACCGGTCCTTCTTAATCTTTGGCGACGCGGATCTCTCCTTAGCCGACATTTGAGTTGCCCCGGAAGAACGATTGTCCTCCTGGTCCGAGTGCCTTACACGCTTTGATTCCTCAATTGCAGCGGATGTCTGACCTTCAAGGGCCGACGTTTCGTCTCGGCTTGACCGACGATGGCTTCTAGTCTGTCCCGGCTTCTCTCGTACACTATCCACATTATTTGTTCCTTCTGCCGTTGCTCTTGCAGGACGGGCCCTGCTGACCTTCACTGGACTCGAAAGCTCATCTAACCGTGTCTTGGAAGGCCCTTTCTTTTGATCAGTCATTCTCTTCTGTCCACTTTCAACCGACATAACATCTGACTAAGAGCAGAATCTGTCAGGCCAAGGCTACCCCTGCAAACACATTACGGGCACCTCGACGTAAAAGAAAACCATGGGACTCCAAGTGCGAAAGCCCTACACATTCCGCACTACGCACGGAAGAATAAGGAGACGAGCGGGAAGAGAGACCGAGAGAAAAGAGCGGACGCATCCCATCAAACATGTGCCGTGCCGGTGCTTATGGTCTTAACCGGCACCTCCGCTAGTTTGGCACGACACAAGACGAAGTTACGCTTTAAAAGAAATTTCGTTATATACTTCGATGTTTTGAAATTTTACATTTGATCATTCCATACGTATTTCATTTTGAAATTTATGAGATCTACAGCATTGTCTTAATGACGTCACTGCGAATCTTTCTGCAATCTGGTACTTATTACATTCATCGAACCCAAGCATATCTTATTATTGTCTTATTTTATTGAACACTTTTCAAATAGATTAAAATTTTCGAAAGTCAAAAACGTTGCTGAAGGTGAGAATCTGCATGGACTGACGTTGGAACTTAAACTTCATAATAATCAGGGAAGAATTAAGTGCAACCTGAAGTTAATTCTTTGAAAATATTCAAATCCCAAGTCTAATGCACACGTCCACTGTAGGGTTACAATATCAAAGTTTAGAGAAATTAAAGCCAACATTACCTCAAAAAGTGTCAGATTACAAACCACAACTGAATTCGCCAGAGTTTTGAACCATGCAAAATTCCAGCAATGAGGAACACCACTGAATTAGTTGTATGTGAAGTCTTGACAATCCTAGCAGGAGCTCATGAACCAATAGTTCCTACGAGAGCACGCACGGAGGAGGCTAAGCGTGGACCATGTGCTCTGGAAAATAGGGGAATTCGGATCAGAAGATCGACGAAACCTCGAGGTTTTGGCAGACGCCAGGAGCTAGAACGCCATCTGCAGCGGCTTTACAGCTTGGATCGACAAATGATGGGTTCGATGTCCTCCTCGGGATATCTCTAGGGCAGGTTGTGTAGGCGAGGTAACACTCGGCAGCCTTGGCGAAGGCTCTGCTCTTGTCACCGTCCATGAGAATCGATACCCTCTATGGTTGGTCGGGACAATCGTTACAAAGGTACTGGACGGCCCGGCATTCGCCCCAAAACAATTTTCCTACAAACCTCTTATTCCACTGCATGCATCAGAATCATTCCATAACGATGTCATCAGACCTGGGCCGCACGGTGGTCCTGATCAGAGATAGAAGCAATATCGAAAATCCTTTTTTCTATTCCTCGAACATATGTTCGGGTCTCCAATGGCTTAATTTACAGAGGAGAGCCTGATCAAACTACGTACTGTACAAAATGCTCAGCTGGTTTAAAACCAAGACGTTACTGATCTTCTCGGATCTCAGGACTATTCCGAGTGTCAGAACTTTTCTGAACGAGTTCTGCAAATCATGCCTTCTGTCTGCTAACATGGTGGTCATCCTCGCAAACGTTGACAGCTTCCCCACTAGTGTATACAATGATGCACGCCAATTAGGCCTCGCATGATTCTTCGAACGATCTTCATGACCTGGGGAGTCAGAAGCAGATAGTCGGCGTGCCACTACAGGTCGAGCAGCCCCTGTCGTATGTATGTATGTCCATGAGACGGGCTGTAGCCAAGCACTGAGCCATCGATGTCGTTCAACAGACGACTTCTTACAATTGCTTCTGTGAGGAAGAAGAACTTGCCCAAATAACACGAGAGCAACTTAATCAGGAAGAGCTGTTCCTCTCTCCAAGTTGTTCTTGATCTCCACAGTATACTTTCCAAAAGCACGCTCGATCTTCCGATTGAAGTGCTCATTCCTGTCATTAATTGAGTCAATATCCTTCTCGTCATGAAACTTACGACGACGGCTAAATTCCTTGCGCTGCGTACTTCTGGATGTAAGTTCGGCAACCATCCGGTCAACATTCTCCTCCGGAACTTCTGGAGCCTGTAAACGCATAGAAGATGTAAGCAGTAAATTCTCTTTGGACAGCGGTGAATCTCCTTCTCACGTCTCTTGAATTACAAGTACTTCGAATTGAGCTCCTTGAGGTGATGCTTATACGAGAGTGGGGGCTATACGGAAGTGGGGCTACATGGGCTTCTACAGAGGCTTCGTCTAGAGTCTTCATCCTCGACCTTTATGTGCGTAAACAAGCGGCAACATATCTAACTCGACCATGCATCCAAAAGAAACTCAATAGATTCTAGTGTCTCACTCACCTTGCCGTATTGAAGGCTGCTTCCATCTCTATAAAAATCGGGATCTGCGTCCTTTGCTTTGTTATAATCCTCCATTCCATACGGGATGTCCTTAGTTCGCTTTTTGTAAGCATTGTACAACGACTTCTGGTTAAAAACTGGGGGAAAACACACGAGAGTTGAGTGTTAAACATCCTATTCATCATGGTTTTAAACACTTGCTGGAAGTAACAAAAGAGTGAGGAACATTGTACTTGCGCTGGTTGGGTTGCATAGTCGAGAGCATTACAACCTCATTTAGGAGAACAATTCGAATATGAGCTATTCAGGCTCAATTCAGCACTACAAATTCACCACAAACTGCTAGGTAAATAAAATTCCTTTCATGTGGCGCAGGGGACGTGATTATATAACTAGACCACATATAACGTTAAAGTACATACAACATTTCGATTTTCCAATGTACCCTCCAACATTGGATGGTCAGTTTGTGAGGCAGGCGATTGAGATCATACCATCCCATCCGAATGCTGCTGGCTTTTTATCCCACTTCTCGTACTTAGCTTCTGCTTGCTCCTGAGTGTCAAGCAGGTAAGCTTTCTTCATATCTAGACCATTTGTTTCCAGTACCTTGCCCATCCTCTTTTGCCTCTCTTCGAACCACTTTGCCTTCGACACACCTCGAACCTCTTGAGGTGCCTCCTCTCGCTTCTTCTCAGCAATTTTAGCAGCTTCGTTCGCCTTACGAGCTGCATTCTGTACTCGAATAAAAAAACAGTTCCGCACAATTTTCAGGCCTAAAAGAATGAAAACCCTAAACCCAGGCCGGTTAAAAGCTCATCAAAACAGAAATACTTCTTGCTGCGAAAGATTCATGCAAACTCGACCATCGAATCCACTGATTACAAAGATGATAGCCTAAACTGGAACCTACGATACTGTCTATTTGTTGTGAATATGTTTCTGGCAGTTGTAAAACAGTGAATTGTTAAGACTAACCAGCTTGAGGCGTAAGTCAAAAAGTTTTTTCTGCTTCTCGCTCATTTTGGCGTATGCCTCCTTGTTTCTTTGCTCCTCAGCTTCCTGAGCTGCTCTGTCCTCCTCAGACTGGACTGGATCATCTCGGGCTGGCAGCAACGTCAAAAGAGAAATGAGAAGAAAGTACCATATGTGAACCAAAGAACGACAGATGCTGAAACCTAAGACGAACTTACCCTATTTAGGTTACAGGTAAAATCCGATCACTCCATTATACAAAATACCTGCCTGGGCCAGACCTGAGAGCCCAAAGAGACGAACATAAAACTGGACAATCAACCACCAACTCTGCGAATTACACACACAATTGCAACTGGAATCTAGATAATTCGCACACTACCCAACGATCCAACTTGCTGAAAAGATAGCACGTAAACTCATAACGGCAGTGCCACGCGTATGACGAAATCTAAACTGAAACCTTCCTCGAGATCAAAACAATAAATAGTCGACAAAACTGAACATCCTTTTGCACATCTACGACTTCCCCGAATCGATTTCAGCCTTGCTACCACATGACATTACAACCTACCGTGACCCGTTTCCTCCATATCAGAAAGAACAAGGAACTATGACTCCCTTTCCAGTCTACTATGGCAAAGTTCTCTCACAAAATTCACAAGAGTTGCAGCCAGGGACCATACAGGAGGTAGAAAAGAAAGGATCATGACAATTGGCCTCACCGGGAGATGAAGGAGGTGGTAGCTTCTCTGCGACCTCAGCTTGATGAGGTTGCTGAGCGTGTGATTGCTTCTCCGCGATTCTCCGAAAACAAAACTCCACGCACTCGTGGTGTGGATTGCCCGCATTGATGCAAGCAGGATGCACTCGACCTTCGCGCTCTGCCATCTTCACAAATTTTCAAATCCCGTCAATAATTCTCGTCAAAATTCTCGACGCATGCGTTGCCTTTGCCGAGCTAAATCCAACCCTAATCGCACCACAGTTCTGTACAAGAACATGATATAAGAACCTCAGAAGTTGTGGAGATCCGAGTCATCCACGCATGTTGGTAAAATCTATGCACATGATGATAGGTAGAAACTGAGGAAGAATCACAATATCTTTGCTTCAGCTAAGTTCTTGTGCCGATGTTTTTGGAAAAGGAGTGACAATGCAGATGTGGAGCTGCTTTTAAGAACATTTTTCCTTTTGAGCCTATTCCAGTCCAATGAGAGATGAGGGACTTTTACTGCATGTCTTTGCTTGGTCACTTCTGTACATTATGTTCAATTATACTTTGCTTGGGCTAAAAGGGAATTCCTAACTTCGGACGACTTAATTCTAAAGGAGAGAGATTTCATTTTTCCCATCTTTTCGACCTGAGATTTTTATCAGATAAACACAGGCATATTACCGACAGTTGCGCCTAGATTTTTAATGTATTCAGTTAAGTTGTGTTTGCAATTCCTATGAATATATTTCCATCACTTTTTGTCCCTGATAATAACTAAACACTAAACCTACAGTCACATAACAAAAGGAAATTATGTTGTCTTCTTGCCACGGTGAACGAAAAAGATGTTGCCTAGAAACTGATAACTAAAAGTAAGTAGGGAGAAATCTTGTAGTTGGCCATGAATAATTAAAAATATGGTAAATGGGTACTGTGATGATAGGGTAACTTCATTCATTCAAAATTCATGCGCCAAGGCAGACTTCCCTCGTTATAAGAACAAGTACATGGGCCATGGATTAGAGGCTGAAGAAGAAGCTCTCAGAAAAAGCTTTTGTGGAGTCGTGAGACGGAAAAGAGCATCACCCAGGACTGGACACAGATGACTACTAAGTTTAGCCAACCACGACTGGAACAGGGTACTCTTGCGCCCTACGTCAATTGCAATTCGTACTTTCTAGACCGGTCACTGAAAATCGTCGTAATAGCGTCTGGGCAAAACGCTATTTACGATGTTTTGTGTGGAAATCTCATCGGCCTGAGTGATGAGGTCTGATGTGACTCCACATTATTTATATTTATACTCGAGTCAAAAGTCGAGGTTTTCCTCGGTAATGTCCATGCCAATTATTTTGCCTTCACTTGTTTTTAGCGCTGGTTCAACATTCGATTGTACAGACCTTCTTCGATTGGGACGAGGCTCAGGACTTAGGGCTTCTGACGTGCAGGTCTGCTACTTCAGAATTTGACCTGAGGATCTAGATGACGACGATCTGATGATTATGGGATTTCTTCACAGATGAGCTTTGGTGCAGCAGCATCACTTAAATTGGCAACAAGATGATCCACATTGGGAGCAGAAGGTGTTGGGCCTTGGGGGCGAGAAGGTTGCCATCGCTTGTGGAATTAGCTGCAGGATCGAATTGGCCTCAAGGATTGACAGGTTCTCAAGTACGAGAACTTTCTCAGAACAATTTTGATCAGGCCTCTAGAGGCCAGTCCTTTGATGGCACGGTCAGCAGGGTCGTACCCGGAGGAGTGCGTCACTTCAGTAGTGGAAGATTTAGAGATGAATCAGGGGGCTTCAGGTGAGAGTGGAATGCAGTACAAAATTATATTCAATTTCACATTTTTCCTTTTCGGTCAAATTGAACTCGGCTCGGACTCGGAGAATTCGTTTCTCTTCCCGGCGAATTATGTTGGATGGCTCGAAGATATGTTTACCTCTTTATTTTGGAGGTGTGAAGTGGTAGTTGGTATTTGGACAGATCAAATGTTGTTCTTTATCAATAGGATTATAGTCTCTTTAAGCTCTACAGAGTTCGTGGGTTTTCTTTCAGTATCACTTTCAAATTATGTATTTGCACGTGTAAAATTCGTCAACCCTAATTCTGGAAGAACGACTATCATTCCCCGTTCTTAGTTTTTCTTACACGAACGGTGCTTCAGGATCGGTAGCTCAGGGGACGCTTCTTCCGTTTTTTAAGGACTTTCTTTTCAAAAATCTTCATACAATTAACCGATGTGTTTCTCAGTTTGAAAATGCAGAGTTTTGCACAAACTCCTGGTTCTGTCCTCCGAGAATGCAGTACTAGCAGTTGCATCTTGGATGTTTCTGTTTTTTTGCACACACATTACCCAATCGGAAAAATCAATTGCCATGAGGGTTTACAGTCGATCACAATATTGGGTGCTTGTGATTTGGTGGCAGGTTTGACGTATCTCCTCCTACCAATTTTGGGGTCCGCATCGTGCCTGAGAAAAAGGCCTTTGTGATTGAGCGCTTTGGAAAATATTTGAAGACCTTGAGCTCAGGCATCCATATTCTCATCCCTTTCGTAGATCGTATAGCATACGTGCATTCGCTGAAGGAAGAGGCAATTCCTATTCCCAATCAGACCGCGATCACCAAGGACAATGTCAGCATATCCATCGATGGAGTACTTTACGTCAAGGTACATTTATATGGTACCTTTGTGTGAGTGTCCGTTGAGCTTTTCTGTTATGATGTCTGTGGTCGATGGTTCACACGATTGCCATAGATTTTTGACTCACATGCTTTAAGGAATCTATGTCCATGACTTTTACTGCTCTGGTCTTGCACAAAGACGAGCTAACAGTGTGTTATGAGCCGTGGTCTCTGGTCATTGAGCTTTGTGACATGGTGAAAGGTTTTGCTCCAGATATTCTTCATCTTCATTATTTTGGGCATAGTAGAGATAATGCAGGAGAGATGGCGGATCCCAAGTTGTCTATAGCATTTACTGTCCTTGATCCAATGCCCAAAGCAGCCACATTTTTGCGTCATCGTTATTGGAACTTCAAAACTTGTTCAAACTGGCAAAAGTGTGTTCGATAGACTGCACTTCCTTTTCTGTTCGTACTTATTATCGTCGGTGTAGAACCATGAAGATAAAGTGTTTGTTCCATACTTCTTGACGTGATACGTTCTATAACAGAGTTTTCTTTTATCTGAAAGGTGATTCTAAAACGTTCATCTAACTTTGTACTCACAAATCCTTTTCTTCTCCTGTGCAGATAGTGGATCCTATCAAAGCTTCTTATGGTGTTGAAAATCCTGTTTATGCAATCATCCAACTCGCTCAAACTACGATGCGAAGTGAACTTGGAAAGATCACTCTAGACAAAACGTTTGCAGAGAGGGATACTCTGAATGAGAGCATAGTGGTGAGTTTTTACACTTGATTCGTAGACAGCTAGAGAACAATCTAGATAGCTTGCATATCTGGCCTCTCCTCGTTTACTTAGGGTTCTCAGCTCTTCTTTATATGGTTTAAGTTTTCCTAGACTATTTTTTTTCTCAAAATACACAAGTTGTGCATCCTGTAAAAGTTCTTTCTATACTGTTGTGTGATTCGCAGAAATCAATAAATGATGCTGCTACAGATTGGGGTCTTCAGTGTTTGCGTTACGAGATTCGTAAGTATTCCATTCATGCTCGTCTTTCTACTTAAAGTTTTGTGCAGCCCTGGACTACAGGCAGGGATGGACAAATGCACAACCTACATAAACGTCAAACGCGAGTTCTTTGGTGGTCATTGATACTTGAATTTCCCTCATGTCTGCTTCTTTGTGATGCTAACTTTCGCTTACTATTTTACATTTTTTTTAATATTTTTCTATTCTTCCATATCCACACCAGGAGGGTGTAAACCCCCGCTGTTTGTCAGTAGTCTTTGACTTTCCACCGGTTCATTGTTACTTCTTAGCTACTTAACCTGATTCAGAATGTCTGTTTTTCCTGTCAGTATCTAAAATCATTTCTATCTCCACCATTGATTTGATATTCGTTGATGCAACTTTCATGTCATGCAATTATGCCCCTTGAACCTTTCTCCTTCTACTGGACCTATCATTAGTTGGGTATTTGACTTTTGAAAGTTATGCACATTAACATCTCTGAAATTAAATTCTTAGACTTTTCCGCATTTAGGCTCACCTGAAGGAAAAAACCATGTGCTTGCTCCAGTCATGGCGATTAGAGTAGCTTGCATTATTCTTGAGACATATTCTTCTCCGTTAGGCGTTGAAATTTAATGCTCGCATACACATAATGTGTTTCTTGCTTCCGTTCTTGTCCTTTGTCACCAGGAGCTCTCAACGTACTCACATTGTAGACTTGAATCATTGATTATTTTTTGTTTGGTGATAAGAATCTCCCTGTTTACTACAAGTAGATCTCAGATTTTCGTGCCTTGCTTCGTTGACACCAACTAAGCAAAAATTTGACTGGAATATTGGTTTCTTCTTCAGTCATGCTCATTTCAGTAAAATCCTTGCTGAAATATCAAGAATTTTGTAGGTGATATCAACCCACCGCCCGGCGTAAGAGCTGCGATGGAAATGCAGGCTGAAGCCGAGCGCAAGAAGAGGGCTCAGGTTCTTGAGTCTGAAGGTAAGTTGCCAAAACTCATGAGTCTTTTTGGAGTGCCTACCAGGCATGTTCTTGCTAGTCACGCGGACACTGAAGTAAAGCAGAAATCATGGATTCTTCCAAGGATTAGGCTCAACCTCTGTTTGCCAAATCTTTCATCACATGTGTGTTAGTAGTTACTGTGCCGTCGATTTATATCCTTATGCTTTCACTTCCACAGGAGAACGGCAGGCCAACATCAATATAGCTGATGGAAAGAAGAGCTCTGTGATTTTGGAGTCCGAGGCTGCTATGATGGACCAGGTTAACAGAGCAAAGGGTGGGTAGTCTCAGGATCTGGGTCTCTGTCTTGTTCATCTGTTCATTACAGGCCAGTTAGAGTGGCTTATAGGACTTCGAAGAATAGATGTTAAATAGCAGTAAGTAGACTTTCTTCATCTGAAAAGCGAAACTATGCACCTGCTGTATCTTGAGTTGCCGAAATCTTAATTCAATCATGATGCCTTAGTTTCTTCGTTTTCTTGTGGCCAAATAAGGTTTGAGACTCCTTATTTTCTTACTTTCTTCTCACTAGTTCACCCGGTTTGGCTTATGCTTAAAAATTGCAGGAGAAGCTGAGGCAATCTTTGCAAAGGCAGAAGCCACAGCGAAGGGCATAAGAGAGCTTTCCGAGGCATTACGAGCGGAAGGGGGTCCTGAGGTTATTTCCTAATCATTCATGCGCTCGTGCTTCTTTAATATTGCCATGGTCCTATTCCACATCAATTGGTTTGTGAGTATTTTCAGAGTGAAGAAATTGCAGAAATTTTGGAAGAGATGTGGAATACCTTTCGTATGGTTCGTGTCTTGCTCTTATTAGATCCCCTTTTTCTGTCACACATCCCTTCAGGGTTTGCCCGGGATTTCAATATTTCGCCTTTCTTCTTGCAAGTGTAGTTTGACATTTCTTTGGCAATGGTCATATTTTGTGCCGGTTTTTGGCAAGTTTATTCGTGATTTACATCTGCATGGACTTCGATCTCAGCACACACATCTTCTGTGATTGCAGGCAGCATCTTTGAGAGTGGCAGAACAGTACCTTCTTGCGTTCAGCAACATCGCGAAGGAGGTTTGTAAATTGTTTACTGCTTGTCAAGATTAGTAACTATTCGACGTTTGTTTGTGATTATTTTTTTCTTGGAACTTCGCCGTTTACTGAGCTTTTATGAAATAAGCCAACAGTCCACTAGGAAACAAGAGTTTTCTTCTAATGCTGCTAACGTCATATATTTTCTGGTGGCCGGGGTTACAGGGCACAACCATGCTATTGCCTAGTAATGCTGGTGATCCTGCAGCTATGATGGCTCAAGCAATGTCCATATACAAAGGTGTTGTAGGCCCCGGCGGAACGTCGAAATACCCAACACGGTCAAACAAGGGCTCCTCGTTCCAGACAGGGACAAACAAGGAAGGTAGTAGTCAGGAATCAGATAATGATGAGTTGGAGCCTCCACTCAAAACCGATAAGCCTGTTCGTGCTGGCAGAGGAGGCGAGATGAGCGCTCTTCCCTACAGTGGTGATCCCTCTATATTCAGCTTGCAAAACCCAACAAAGCACCCTCCCACTCCTTTTTCTCTCTCTTCTCCGAGTGAGTAGGAACCTGCCTCGATTCTTTACCGTTGAGTAGTTCTTAAGCACTGTCCCTCTCGTCACGTTACTAGGAGCACTTACAGTCCCCCTGATCAATTTTAGCCCTTAGAGCAACAAGTTTAACAACATTCAGTCACTAAAAAGAGATGGCGCCGTGAGCAGTGGAGCAATTCTTGGCCCAACCAATTGTTAGTCAGCCTCGTTGGTGGTGGTATGTTAGTTCTATGCAAATTTTTGGCAGAAACTGAGATCAAGATCAAGTAGTCGGAGTCATTCTCCTACCAGAGGAAGGCTCATACTGTTTAAAGTGAAGGGAATATCACATCAAGAAGTTTTGGTTCCATGAATTGAGTGATTGGTTTGATGACCTCACAGTAGAGATTTTTTCTATAATGCTTTGTACACTTCACATTCGTCGGATATTAAACTCATTTAATTGACTGATCAAACTGACAGCAGACATATTTCGTAAATGTACTACTCGCTTGGTGTTTTTTCTCCAAAACTCTTTACTCTCGGGTATGGTGAAGTTCAAATATGTTCATCCCCCAAATTAAACGACGGAATGTCGTTGAGCATTTCTCATTTTCAATGGTAGGCATTCATCAGTGGAAAGCACGCCCAACATTTTCGCAGTCTCTGTCTCTTGTTGGGTTTGAAGCATATTTTCAGTTCAGTTATGAACTCACCCATCTTCATGGCTCTCTCGGTTCCAAACAAGTTTTGGCGAAGGAACGTCAAGCAAAGTTTTTTGGATTAGACTGGGTCAGGTTCAGGTCCAAGATGATTCATCTATTGACTTCCAAGTTCAAGATGGACTTGAAGTGCAAGTAACAGCTCTGATGGCTGGAGCATTCTGGCAAAACCTCTTGGACGTCGACCCTAACTCAATAGGAAGACCACTTGGTGCCATCTTTAAACTTTCAATCCAACAGTATTAGATGCATCTTCTAGTTAGGGGCAACTTCCTCTATGGACCATGTTGAGTCTCAAAATTGGCTGCATGGGGCTTCATACCTTATCTTCATGTATATAAATGGAGAACTCGGAGACCTTTTTTGGACCGAAGTGACTTTGAGGTCCCTAGGTTCATGACTGAAGTCTTGAGAGTTGGACATGAATTTCAGGTCTACACGGTGTAACACTAAGTCAATCATTCCGTAGTAGTTTCCATGGTGAAATGTATTGTCAAGACATGTCCCTCTATCAATATTATACTATCAGAATAGTCCACTATCTAAAGTTTGACTTGAGTATCATTTGTAGGGTACATGTTTCGTTATCCGATCTTAACCAATTCTCCAAATAAATCTATAAATATAAGTATTATATTATTGCATGATAGCCATCCCCATATCCGCAGAAGCCAAAAATTACCTTTTTCTTCTTGATCATGCACGCTAAGAATTTGTCCTCAGTGACATAGTTATCAATCTGAGATTTGGCTAAACTAACTGTAGCTAACCATGATTGGTAGCATATATCCTTCCACTTAATATATAACGGTCAAGTTGCAAGAAAAATCAAAAGTCTATACAGGAATCTTGACAAAGCTCAGATTTGTTAGAAGTTCTCGACTAACAATAGTTAATCCAAATTAAATGTCTAGATGGCCTATACCTAATATTACAAAACATTTAGTATCCATATATTTATCATCTACTTTGAACTTATTATATCTAACGATTAGATCAAGCAAATCTATTGAGTGTGATGGATAATTACCTGTATCGTTTCATAATTTAGAGTATGCTTTTCAAGTTACATTAGGTACATTATTAGTTACTGTTCTAGTGCTTTTGGCACAAGCTAGCGATTTACCTTTGGGGTCTTTTCCATTGTTTGCGATTTTCAGCCTATTACGATTTAGTCTATTAACTTAATAGACTATTAATAGACTTGGTCTATTACGATTTACACCTCATGAAATCATCTCTCCCATTTTCTCACAAATGTGCGTCTCTCTAATTAAAAATTGTGTTCAAATAAAATCTTGAAACAAAAACTACTCTAGACGAGACTCCATTATTTTAGAAGTAAAAACATCTGAAGATTTATATTTTTTTGTTTTTATTTTTTTTTTGAAATAAACTTGAGAACAAAAATTATCTTCAAACTTATTCAAGACATAAGTTAAAGCTCTCTATCTTTATTGAAAGATTATTTTTTGAAGATATTATATATTTTTTGAACTTAAAACATCATAATTCTATAGCATTGATTCACAACTAAAGACAAAATGTTATAGACAGAATTAAATATATCTTCCATCAGATTTCAATTAAAAATCATTTTTCACAAATTTTTAATTTTTTTTCATTCAATATATATCCAAGTAGCATCATTCATTTTTAATCTCAATTATAAATACCATCTTTACCTTAAAATTTGATTTGGACGTCAAGCACTTTTCAAACCAATCTTTATAGTCATACTGTATACATATCATCAATGCCGTGAATATTTTAAACTTTTTGCAGCATTTTCAAAATAAATATTTTTTGTTAATGAATTAATTTATGAATATAATATTTCAAGTAAGTAATCTATCACTTCTCATTCAACTGATAAGCTTGTAATTATTCACAAGATTAAATTCTCAATAATTTTCACCAGATTTGTTTCTATAGGAGTTTTATGACTTTACTAACTCAAATTTTTCCATATGTTGAATTAATTACCTAAAAAAAATTCATATCCTGAAAAATTCAAGATAGTTTTAAATGTGTGATTTATATGTTAGCATTGTACTGAATGTAATTCGTTGTGAAGTTTAAGTACACTTAAACTTCACTTGCAATTTTTTTCACGTAATTGTAACTATAATCAATATAATACAATCATACAGACAGTTCTTGGAATTTTGTTCCTAATACCTTGTCTTGGATAAGAAAAAATATAGATATAATATTTTTGGTCATCAAATTTTATTCCTATTTGAATTGTTATTCAATAATCTTATATAATTTCATCCACTGTATGATTAAATTTGGATTGAAAATTATTCAGGTTCAAATTTTCATAATATTTGGAAAAAAAATTAATCTTTTCTATCTGCAATCATGATTGAAATGAGATTAAATGAATATACAATCCAATGTATACATTCAATCATGATGTTAAAATTAGCTCACTACTCATCAAAAAAAAAATTAAAACCCATAACGGTGAAAAAATGTATATGTTTATATTAATAATATAGTAATTAAGTTTTTTTAATTTGAATATACATAAAAAATCAAAAAATGTTTCAATAAAATTACACATCCATTCCAAATATGTTCATTCAGTCCAAATATGTTTATTTATGTATATTACATAATGAAGCAAAGTTTTTCATTCTTTCTCATGTTAAATTAAATATTAAAAAGGATTTTTATTATAATATTTTTTCTAAAATCAACTATTTCAATCAAGTTTCATTTTCAAACTGAAAATGGGCTGAAAATGGTATTTTTAGTGTTCACTTTATTTTTCATTTTGTATTCAAATTAAACATTGGATTCAAAAATTGTGTGTTGCAAATTTAAAACGTTGAGAAACTTATCAAATAATTTAAATTTAAATTTTATATATGTAACATAAAAAATCAATACATATATAATTATTCACATAGATTTAAACATAATTCAAATATATCATATATTATTTAGATTATGCTTTAAAAAAATATATATATACTAAGAAATTCATGAAAAATGCATAATTTTAAAATAAAATATCAATTGAATTGCAAATTAATATATTACTCTAAGTGTTGATAAACTTCAAACAACACAAATTTTCTATCACAAATATGTTTATGTGTTCATATCATTCTGATACTCACATTTAGATTTGAAGATAAGAAAGAGTGAAACAAAAAGATTATGATTTTAAATAATTAATATTCTAATATTTTTCATGTTTTAACACATGTTTAAGATAATCAATTGTCATCAATATTAATCCCACGTTTCATGAATTGATAATATAATAGACTCATGAACTATATTGTTTATTTGCATATTGTAACGTTAAGATTTAGAAAAAAACTCACTTGAATGTGATAGTGATAGATTGAGCAATTTAATTCGAAGGTAGATTGAAAAAGAAAAATGACTACAAGTAATGGTTGAAAGATCTATAGAGATAGAATTAGATCTCAAAATAGTAATTTACCACTCTTTGTGATGGGTAAAACATTCATTTCTATAATTGATGTATGTTTACTTGGACGTATAAAAAATATTGGATCTAGGGATAAACTTTACATCCAGAAGTTTTTGAACGACATTTTTATGGAGTAGAAAGATGTTTTTCTAGATGATCTATCTGCAAGATTATAACCAAAGAGTCAAGTAGATGACAAGATTGAGATGATAGCTGGAAGTAAACCAACTTGCAAAGCTCCATATTTATTGGCTTCAAACAAATTAGAAGAATGCAAAGCTCAAGTGGAGTAGATGTTGAGTAAGGGATTCATTCAATCAAGTGTTTCTTCTTATGAAGCTCTAATTCTCTTTGTGAAAAAGAAATATTGATCCATGATACTATGCATCGACTATCGTGGGTTAAATCAATAGACGGTGAAAAACAAATATCCATTAACTTGTATGGATAATTTATTTGATCAACTTCAAGAAGCGAAGTACTTCACTAAGCTAGATTTGAGAAGCTGCTACAATCAAATTCAAATTTCAGATAAGATGTTTACAAGAGAGTTTTTGATTTTAGAAATGGCCACTTTGAATATTCAGTGATGCTTTTTGGTCTCACTAATGCACCAGCTACATTCATAAGATTAATGAACAATATCTTTTGCTTTTATAGAGATAAATTTGTCATCATTCTTCTAGATGATATATTGTACTATAATAAAACTTTGAGTGATCATAGAATTTATTTACAAAAAGTACTCTAAGTTTTAATAGACAATCAATTGTATGACAAAGCTTTAAAATGTGAATTTCGCAAATCATAAGTAGATTATTTGGATCATAGAGTTGGAGTCGGAGGAATTCAAATGATGAGTGAGAAGATAGATGTCATTCAGAAATGAACAACAACTTAGGATCAAATTCAATTGAAGAATTTCCTAGAATTTGCTGGAATCTATAATAGATTCGTGAAAGGTATAGCTTACCTAGCTTGTAAGGTAAGGATTTAGTGTACTAATTATTGTGTAAGTTGCAAGCGTCATGTCAACAATCTATGTGCTTGTTAGGGTTATCCGTCATGTCATGCATCCATTAGGAGTGGGATGGATGGTGGGATAAGATCCTATCTCCTTGTACTTGTTGGTGAAAGTTATATATTGTTGGTATCTCTCATCTTCAGAGTTTATGATTTCATTTTTGAATGAAATTCTCTCTTAATCCAAGTGTTACATCTCTCCAAAATTAACTATTCAAAGAATCATTGGCACTCTCGACTCCATCACTCTAATTATAAAATTTGC